TCCAACACATATGGGACTGAACCTCAATTGCTCCTGAGGCTTCAAATTCATTTTACAGCTTTCTAAATAACAACTTAAAATTTGAAAATGGGCTTTCCATTCCCTTGGCCTTGAATTGTAATCCTGAGTTACATAAGACTTCTTGATTCAGTTCACTATTGGGAAAAGATCGCAGAAAAGATGAAACAGAGAATTCCAAAGCACTGAAAATCAGTCAACAAGAAAAATGTATACATCGTTTGCTGGCTAAGGAGTCTTTAGGAAAAGAGTGCCTACTGTGTGCCAGTTACAATATATTTCCACTACTCTTTCATTACCACAGAGAAAGACATCAAGGACAGAAAAACTGCTGTTGAATTTTCACTTGTGAGAATAAGGCATTTGACAGTACCATTGCTGAAAACACTAAGGCCAAAATCCTATTAAGAAAAACCACATGCTGAAGAGCAATTTGCACAGCAGTCCCTCCTCTGGCAGGCCACTTGCGCCATCAGCCATATGATTGCTCTCGCCATCTGCGTAAAACAGGGCATGTGGAGGGAAGCCTGCTGGAGCCAGGGGTGGGGGCAGGCTACAATTGCATTACATTCTCTCAGCAGCATTCTCGCATTGCCATTCATTTGAAGCAAAGGCTGCTATTTTGTATTTTTTTCCAGTTCTCAAGAAAGCAGTTTAAGCTCAATACAGAGTATCCAAGTGCAGCTCTAATATAGAAGATTTTAAATACTAAGTGATGGACTTGCATACATTATCCATCTGCACTTTATTTCAGTGAGGATGTTAAGGGTAACATTGAAAGTGGATTATTGTCTGTAGCATCTTCTAAAAGGCTCTTTTGTCACTACTATCACTCTTGCAATCTTCCTTCCCAGTTCAAGCAAGCCTCCTTGGAAAGGCACTCCACAATGACTGAGCTGGCATGGTTGTCTTACATTAGAAAACAACAGGCACTGAAAGCAGCGATATCAAACTAAGCAGAGATGCTTCAGCTTCTATGGCACTGAAAAGCCAACAGCTTAGCTTTAAAACGCATTTCACAGCCAGATGCTGTTTACAGATAAGTGCAAATTAAGACCGATTTCTTCCGTTTAAGTATTTGAATCACCATAGCACACACTGACCTGGCTCAGACAGGGCCATATTGTGTGGATCTTTAGCTCATGCATGTTACCGTTTTCAAGCACGTGCTGAGAGTCAAGTTGCTTTTGCTTTCAGTTAACTGAAATTTAACTATAGTATTTATTATGTTGAACAAACTCATGATATATGAAGCTGGTTTGGTTCCCTTTACCAAAGTATTTTATCTGGATTCAGATAGAACATTAATTATTGTTGCATTAATGGAAGTAGATGCTTCCAGTTTTTTTCTTTAAGTCTGAGAGGGGGGAGACAACTCATGCATTCAACATTAGTTTTGTGTTATGTCTAATCAAGGTAAAAGATATCAAAAGGATTCGCTACAAAGCAGTGTTTGGTATTTCAGCCTTTAGGTCCGAAGACTAGCTACTGTCATGGTGGGCTACTGAGACTGGGGTGGGTAACTTCATTGGGCCTGGGGTGCAAATTTTCAGCCGCATCTGACACAAAAGTCCTTGTTCAGTTTTGAAAGGTTTTTATTTAGGCATATTAAATCTGGGGCTTTGGGGTGGGGTTGGGGGAGGGGGAGAGGCCACAATCTATTTAAAAGGTGAACTGCTTTCTAAGAATAGCAACTCACCTTTGTTGTCTGAATATTAGGGGAACCAGAGACATTTATTTGGGCAGCAAAAACAGCCCTGAGGTGCTCCATGGAGCCCTGAGGCTGAACTTTGCCCACCCATGGTTCCCAACCTTGAGTAATCCAGATGTTCCTGCCACCCAGATGTAGCAAGTGGTGGAGGCTTCTGAGAATTGCATTCCAAGAACCCAAGGTTACCCAGAGTTCGCGTAGCAAGTGGTGAAGGCTTCTGAGAATTGCATTTCCAAGAACCCAAGGTTACCCAGAGTTCGGAACTGCTGGTTTAAACCATTACATTATTTCCAGCATCTATGGATTCAGGATTTGGGTTGTTAGGATTCACTTCACTAGCTCGTTTTTGAAGGCAGGAATCAATTGTACTTCTGTTATTGCTAACTTAAAGGTCACCCTAGGAGAACCTTTGAAAAGTCATTTCTTTTCCCAGTAGCGAAGCTGGGTGGGGTATTCTGTGACTTTTAGTTGAAAATATAATTTTTCCAAGCTTGACACATAGCATCTTTAGGAAGAACAAAGAAAAATCCCACTGTGAAGACCTGAAGAACTGCTTTCTGCCAGTGATGTGTTAAGATGGATTAGCATTTATGAAGTGGTATAAGGCAGGTCCTTATGTTCATCACTGGTTCAATTTGCCTTTTTATTCTGAATTGCAATTTTTGTTACAACTTCATTCTCAGATTTTGCCTGCAAGCTTCCTCTTTTTCCCCCCCTTTAAGCTACAGATTCAATGGTTGAAATTAAAGATGGGGGTATTTGTATACGAATATCCCTACACAGGTGGCGTTAACGAGGGTCCAGCCCCATGGGGCCGGATGGTCCACTCACCAATCCGCTGCAATTCTACAAATGGCTCTGCAGCGCACGATCTGCTCACTGCTCTTCGACCTTACAGCAAAGTTTGTCTTCCCGCTTCTTGCCAGGAGTGGCGAGCGGAACATGCGCTGCGGAGCCATTCGTAGAATTGCACCATCCATGTCGGTGGTGGATCAGTGAGTGGACCCTCGGGCCCCAGGGGGCTGGACCCTCATTAATGCCACCTGTGCGGGGATATTTGTATACATATACCCCCCTCTCTAGTTGAAATCCAGTAGAAAATCACAACTAGAGCAGGACCACTGAAACAATGGAACTTAGAATTGACTCACCCAACTGATTGAATGAGCCTACTCTAGTTGCAATTGAGTACTGTATCTCAGCCAATGTGCAAGTAACCCATGCAAATATCAGGTTCTGATGGTTCCAGCAGCAAATCTGTTTTTTCACATTTCAGCTTTGGTTCCTTTTTATTCCAATACTAATCTTTATACTGTCTACTACAAATCTGGAAGCATATGGAGATGTGAAGTCCCAACCAAAAAAAAAAGCAACAAAAAAATGCAACAAGCAGCTGTGGTGCAAAACCAACTTGGGCTAAAAAAAATACTATGAATGGAGACATTTGCCGTATAGAAAATCAAAGGGTAAACATTAGGCCATTCTGCAGTTTCCCTCATGCACTGAATATAGTAAGTACAGTGAGGTTTAAGTGCTAATGTGTACTGAGGGTTTAGCACTGAAGCAAAATAAAACTGTGCAGGAAGTATGATGTGAAGGCCACTTAATGCATGGTTCTGATAGGTAGATCCCTGCCTCCAGTTCAGAGTGGTTTTGTATTGTTCTGTTTTGAAGGAGACATTTTCTTTTATAAATCTTGAGTCATAAGAACAGTCATACAGAGCTTTAAAAAGTTTTAAAAGGTAAGTAGCTTGCTTGAAGCACCGAAGGAGAGAAGAAGGCCACATGGATAACTGAGCCAGTTTTCCATTCACTTATATACATGCCTATTATTTCAGCTGTGAAGATAGGAGGAGTCACCTGCAGCCAAGGTCTGGGCTGTGAGCAATCATTTTGTACTATGCTTGCTTTCACCAGCCTTTCAAGTATGCAAGTGAAGCTCTTAATTTTTGTTAGGGGTTTCTGCCCATCTTCTTTTCATCTTCCTTGCTTCATTGTGGGCACTACAATGTCACTAAATTAAACTACTCAATGTGTACTGCCTTGTGAAAGCAAGTCTCCATTTGACTATGCTTCCAGAAAGCCAAGCTCGCATTTAATTCTCTCACAGGACTTTTAGGGTCCAGCTAGGTCTTATCACTAAATAAGATTCAGCTGGATGAAAACTTACCACAGTTCAGCGGAGTGGGCCACAGGAGTTGTGTGCGTGATCCAGATTCTGTGCCCTGCCTCATCCTGTGGCCACCCTTGTCAGAGGCAGCAGCTCCCTGCCCTACCTCCTCCTCTGAGCAAGCAACCATGGGATGAGGCACACTGTGGAATTTGGATCACCCATGCAACACCTGCAGGCCTGATCCACTGAACTGAAGCACTGAAGCATGGTACAGTGGTGCCTCGCTTGACGTTAATCCGTTCCAGCGAAATTGCTGTTAAGCGAAATCGTCGTCAATCAGAGAAAAAAAAACCCATTGAAATGCATTGAAAACCACTCAATGTGTTCCAGTGGGCTAAATACATAATCCTCCAGCGAAGATCCTCCATAGGGCAGCCATTTTCTGGTGCCTGTAATGCGAGGAATCTGTCCCGTAAAGTGAAGAATCAGTTCCCGAAGCAGGGAACCGATCATCATAAAGTGAATTTTTCCCATTAAACCATCATTTTGTGATCGCAAAAACCTCATCGTCAAGCAGGTTCATTGTTTAAGAAGGTAATCGTTAAGCGAGGCACCACTGTAAGTGCTCATCTCTACTTGCAAGTAATCGATTATCAGGAAGCGAAGGTTTCCCATTAAACCATCATTTTGTGATTGCAAAAACCTCATCGTCAAGCGGGTTTGTTGTTTAACAAAGTAATCTTTAAGCGAGGCACCACTGTAAGTGCTCATCTCTACTTGCAACAGATCTAGTTCAACAGTGAGCTATTTTAAACCATTGCTATTAAATTTAGTACTAGATTTAATGCTGTAGTGGAGTCCCCACTGTTTGTCTAGACAGCTCTAAAAGGTTTCATTTTGGCTGTGTATGGCACAAAAGAATCAAGAAATCCTAGGCACGCCAACACTCCTTATTCTACAAAAATATAAAACTGAAAATCCTAATGCACAAGAGTTCCATGGCGAGAAGATCAGAGGGAATTTACTTCTTCAAAATTGTGTGTGCTAGAGAGTTCAAATTAACATCCTGTGTGAATATGGCCCTATTTTGCTTAAAAGGCTAGTAACATAAATAGCAAATATTCAGAGTCTACAACACACTGAAAAAGACAACACAAAAAGCTTTCAAAAGATTTAGTATTATAAATATATCATCTTTGTCTGAAAACAACTCCATTGTAAAACAAGGCTTGGCATTTTGGGAATGGAAGTGTGTATTTTCACATCATATAAATCGTTTCATACAAAATGATTCTCAGTCTAAGGCACAATTCCATGTTTAGGCCAATGGCATTCTTGCCTCCATAGATTCAAGGGACTGAAATTAATTACAAACTAAGAAAAAGCAGCAAGCATTTTTTTTTAAAGTTTGAAATTGAATCACGATATAATAAATGTACGAATTCAACCTGGAAAACAAGTATCCTTTTCTTTTTTTCAAGCTGTAAGCATGAACATGGCAGGTGCAAAAGGAAAGTACCACAATACTGTTCAAGCCACGTATATGTGCAGAAATACTGGCTCATTTCTTAGGGTTAGCAACCAGATTCATCTGTCAGACATATCCAAGAAAAGAAAAGGCAGACCATCTGTGTCAGAATTTTGTGACACTGGAAAAAAGCCATCCAGGGATCTATATTTTTCACCCAAGATTAGACGTTACAGACCATGAACACAAACTATAATCTTTGCACTCAATGGAACATTTTGCCCTGGATGTCAATCCAATGAGGCTTGCAGCCCCTGTCCACAGTTTTGTATCAGTGCTCAAGCTTTCTAAAAATAAGGAATAGGAATAGAAGTGATGCATCATATCTTACTCTCCAAGCAAAGTCCTTGACAAAGAGCAGTTTGTCCATATCCATTTTACCACCAGCAAATATTTATGAAGTCTCTACAGAAATTACTATAATTTCTTTTTTTTGGCCATGATGACTCACAGACATTAGAAATCAAATATATTCTCTCTATAAAAACAATTTAAAAGGGCTATTAGCAAAGGTGTTTGTCTGTAGATAAGGTATTTGTTGATGGATAAAGCACTGGTTGGTACCGAAGACAAGAGCTGTAGAGGAGGAGTGTTAGTGTAAACGGTTGATATTAATAAATGCAATGTAGGAAGGGCATGTAGTTTGCACCAGAAGAGATGGGAAGGTCTGTATCAGTCTAACTCCGATAAAGAACACGGTCTTCGAAACTCTTGCCCGCGTTCATGGATCCACTTATTGGATACTACAAATAAGGAAAAAGAAAGAAGCCACATTAGCGTATATAGTCACTTACACCTTGCTAAATTCAGTGAGTACTTATTAGCTACTAATAGAATTGTTTACCTGCAAAAATTGTTATTTTCTGAAGTCTAACTGGAAATTTTTTACATAACAAATTGCTTCACATTTATTCCCGAAGAATGAGAAAAAATTTAACACCCATGCGTGCTATCTGTATCTATAAAGCATTGGTGAACCTCATATGCTCACGCACTGAAGTAATGTGGCAGCTTGATAATAAGACTTCCTTGTACCCAATCATCAGTTTTAACTCTTATTTGAAGGTACTGCCCTCAATGTCACTTTCTACTGAGACTTGTTTGAGGGACGTACCTTTTGCATGCAATTTCAAAATGTGATAGCTCTAAGTCTTGCATCTTCTCTCAAATTTCATACATACCCCATTTGTTTCCTACTAGTACTGGACAAGCAGCATGCCTTGTGCTATAGTCGCCTTCTCCACTTGCAAAAAGATTGTACCAAAAGACAGCTGTTCCCTGGTAAAACAGAAAGAAATATTAATCTGATACACCACCTTAGTATCTATGTAGTAAAAACATCTTATTTAAATATCTTACCTAATTTAACGGTTTTGGATTATTCCCTTCCTTAAAACACCCTTGCAATACTATTCTTTCCGCAGTACAGGGTCATTAAATGAAAAACAGAGCCTTAGAGATATCCTATGACACTTTAGTTAACATGAAATTAAATGCTGTTTTAAAAACTGTTCATGAACTCTATACCTGAATTGAAAAACAAAAGTAGTGTTCTAATGACTTGAAGAGGGCAACCCTATGGTCCTAGAGTAATGTCTCAAGCATGATCAACATATAGCCTATCTGCCCCTTTGAGAAAATTTTCCTTCCTGAATTGAGAAGTGAGCTCAAGGAGGAGGGCACAGACATGTGGAATTATGTTTCAGTGGATGAGGAAGGAGAGGCTCTGTATATACATTCTTCCCAGTTCTTCTCTCAGAAACCAGACCTACAAGATGAAATGAAACAGCCCCAACCTCACCTGTCCCACTATTGTGTTTCCCTGAAAATAAGACAGGGTTTTATATTAATTTTTGTTCCAAAAACACATTAGGGCGTATTTTCAGGGATTTTTTTTTATTTTTTTCATGTACAACCATCTACATGTATTCAAATACAGTCATGTCATCATCTTCTGGTTGCTGCACAATGGTGGCGGGCAGGGGTTCACTTAACTGGGGCTTATTTTAGGGGTAGGGCTTATATTACGAGCATCCTGAAAAATCATACTAGGCCTTATTTTCAGGTTAGGTCTTATTTTGAGGGAAACAGGGTAATAAGAGCCTGGTAGGTTTTAGGATATGTCAGAGAATCTATCTCCATAGACCGAAATGTAATGACCTAACGCAGTATTAAAAAGCATTCCACAATATATCTGTATACAATCTATACACACACACACACACACATACATACAAACAAACAAAATGTCAAACTTTTACTCTTCATTCTGTACTTCCCTCTGGGAATCTGAAAATTAGTTGTAATTTTTGTGACACAAATTCAATTGTGAGTGTCAATTGGATACTGAAGCACAGCTGAGATGCAATAATCCTGGCCTGATAAAAATTGGTTTACAAGACTGAAGATAACTATTGTCTTCTCTGCTTTCTCTTCAGCACCTTAACAAAGTACATCTGGGGTTTGTTAAGCCAAAGCTTCCTGTTACACTGAAACTGGGACAATATCTTGCCAGGTGGCTATAAAACAGAATTGTGAATCAGGACAAGATTCGGGTTTGTAAAACAGGTCTCCAGACAGAGCTTGAATGGTCGTTTCTTGATCTGGATGTAACAGGCACTATAAATACCCTGGGTGCATTGGCCCAAATCCTGTTGTTTAGCATAGTAAATCACAGTTAGAGTAGGCCCATTTGAATCAATGGATCTTACAGGAATTGACTCACCAAATCCCCAGTGATTCAATGGGTCGATTGTAGTATAATTTACTACTCTAAACAAGAGGATTATGGCCCTTGTATTAAGACACATGTGAGAATGGAAGAGGAGGAGTGGAGGGAGTGTATTTGGCAACAAAATGGTGAACCTGAAAGAAGCAGCTGTCAGTTGAACACCTCTATAAGATATTGAACCCCCCCCCCATGCCATCTATCTACATGGATTCATTATTTGGGACCCAGGGAAAAGGACAGGGAGATCTGTAATGATAGAGTTCTGCCAGCCCCACAAGTCTACACATTGTATCGGCGAGTATAGATTCCACTTTGCTTGTTGGAAAAATCTGGAGCATCAGCTTCCACTTGTGAAACAATAACACTGCTGTTTTTAAGTGGAAGGCACAGCACAGAGACACAATCAGTTAATGGGCATACTTTTTACTTACCTTCCTAGGCCAAACACTCGCTCCTACTTCAGGGAATACAGTTGCTCCCCCTGCTGACACATCACTCATCTGTAAAAAGAAAAGGTGTGAGATATACTTTGGCCATCTCAATGTTACACTTTAATCCATAATTTAGCAAAGTAGATTTTATCATTGAGTTGATATCAGGGGTTTAAACACACTTTGTAAAATAGAATTTTCTTTGCCACTGAAATACTGAACAATGCAGCAGACCAGAGTTTTAAATCGAGTATGTTAATGCCATTTTTTCTCAGAATATATAAAGTAGTCTAAAACAGTCATAATCTGGCAACACAGTCTAGCAAAACAGCATTTTATGAATATGGACATGCAATGACACACAAGGCTGTAGTTTCTTTCTCAAGCTTAAATATTTCTGTCCAATTTATCTTATTTTATTGCTTGATAGCTTGGAATTCACAGAATAATTATATCACAGCTGGGAAAAGTTATATTTTTTCCCAGAATGCCCCAGCCATTATAGCCATGGGTCATGCTTGCTAGGAGACTGCGAGTTATAGTCCAGACAAGTAACTTTTCCAACTTCTGGGCAGTACTTCATGGGCAATAATGAATTTTCTTGCTGTAAATGATTTGCATTTTAAGATTACATGTTTGGCAAAGAAATCTTACATATTAGACTGCCATTCAAATTACAAAATTCAGACTCAGGACTACCCTATGTGAAATGAATCCCTTTAGAAAAATATTCCAAGTTTGAGTGAAACCTGTCTCGCATATATTGGCTTAAATATGTATTGGAGTTTTTCGTTATAAAGGGTTATAAAACTCTTCAAAGAGAGAGGTTAATTACCTGTAACTCTGGTTCTTCAAGTGGTCATCTGTGAATTCACATTATAGGGTTTTAGCTGTGCCTGTGCAGAGGTTTCCAGAATATTCTAGAGCTCTATTACATGCTCGCCAGGACTGCCCCCTAGTACACATGGTCCACCCATCCTGGCGATTGCCTCAGTTCCTAGGAACAGCCCACTGCTGAATCAAAAGTGAGACAAGACGTGACGGACAGAGGGGAGGATGGGCAGGAAGTGTGAATTCACAGATGACCACTTGAAGAACCAGGGTTACAGGTAAATAACCTCTCCTTTTTTGTGGTCTCCATGAATGCACACTATAGGGTGATTAACATGCTAACTTACCGGAGGAGAGACACCACAGAAGAACAGACAAGAGTACAGCCCTGCCAAATGCTGCATCCATCTTAGCCCTGACATCCAGGCGATAGTGAGCAGCAAACGTAGAAGGGGTTGCACAGGTAGCAGCCTTACAAATGTCCAGGAGAGGTACTCCTCGAAGAAAGGCTGTGGACCTAGCAAGAGCCCTGGTGGAGTGAGCGTTTATGCTGACAGGCAGAGGCTTTTTGGCAAGTTGGTATGCCAACCGTATAGTTGTAACAATTCATCAGGAGATGTTTTGAGAAGAAACGTGAAAGCCTTTGTGAGGCAGGTGTGATGCGACAAAGTCTTTTCAACTTGTGGAAGAAGGAGGTTCACAAGACACAAAACGCAAGGGCTTGTCTAGCATCCGACATATGGAAGGAACATTCGAGTTTAGTTGTCAGAGATGGAAAAAAGGTAGGTAAAATGATAGGTTGTTTGAGGTGGAAGTCTGACACAATCTTTGGGAGAAAGGAAACATCCAGTTAAAGAGTAACTTTATCTGGGTGGAATTGGAGGAACGGAGGGTCTACCCAAAGAGCAGCGAGTTCTGAGACTCTGCGGGCTGAAGTAATGGCTACCAGAAAAAGTCTTAAAGGCAAGGAAACGCTCAGACATGGTAGCAAGTGGCTCAAATGGAGGAAGTGTGAGAAGTTGGAGGACGGTATGGAGGGACCATGGGGGGGGGAGGATTTAAGAGGCCACATACTGGAGACACCCTTGAGGAATTGTTTCATAGAAGGGTAGTGAAATAGCTGGGCTGCTGAGCCCTGCAGCTGGTGTGCGACTATCGCATAAATGTAGACATTGAGGATGGAAAGGGAAAGCTGTTGTCGAAATAGATGAGAAAGGAATGCGAGAACCACTTGGAGAGTTGTTGGTTTGGTTGGAAGGTTGCATTGAGTTGCAAACTTCCGGAAAGCAGCCTACTTATAAGAATAAAGCTGAGTTGTAGCAGGCTTCTGGGCGTTGGCTAAGATGGCAGTTACTGAAGGTGAATCCTCCATGATGTGAGATGAAGGTTGTGGAGGTTGGGATGATAGGTCCTCTCTTGGTGTTGAGTAAGAAGGTGAGGGATGGGATGCAGGCGGATGAAGTCTGTTGAGATAGAGTGGAGCATGGTGAACCAGGGCTGTCTGGGCCACCACGGGGCGATGAGAATTGTGTTTGAATGGTTGTGACGGAGTTTGACAATTGTCCTGAGAAGGAGAGGTTTAGGTGGGGAAAGATAGATCAGGTGTTTGGTCTGTTGGCGTGGGGCCAACTTCAGAGGCTTGAGATGGCGTTTGCCTGTCCTGAAGCTTGTAGTCAGATTTGAATAATGAAGCTTGCAAGAGCACTCTGTTAGGGAAAACAAACCTTGGAGATAACAAGTTAAACAGAGCCTCTTATCTGGTAGCTTCAAATCCCAACCCTTAAACAGCAGAGTAAAGATGCGGACATGTGCGAAAATATACACAGAGAGAGTTCTGATAAGACTTATAACATTATATATTAAACTTGGTTAGGCATATATACATGGCAATATATACACTGGCATAGAATATCTCAGAGCAACATAACGTAACACATGAAGTAAAGTGAGCACCAGACTCACAACTGGGTGGCAAAGATGCTGCTCCCATACACTTGCTTATATAGTCAGAGCAGCCTATCACTGCACACATGGCAGCTAATCAAATGTAATTATGTAATGCTAAAAAGCATTACATAAGCTTGTTACACCTGTATGCTATCAGTCATACATTGGCTTGACTTTACATGCATGACTTTGCATTCTTTACTACAATATTAAATTTAACCCCTTGTTCACTTAAAGGAACAAATCATGACATGGTTACCTGAAACTTAAGTGCGTTCCCTAGAGAGCCTGAACCTATGTCTGCTCTGGAACAGTAGAGGGGGCACTCACCTGAAACTTAAGTGTGTTCCCTAGAGAGCCTGTCTGCTCTGGAACAGTAGAGGGGGCACTTTGAGTTTTGGGACGTTGCAAAAATGTGTGTATGTCCCCATAGTTTGCAGAGATCAAGAAAGACAGATTGGTCGAGGATCCACTCATGCATTTTTGTTCGAGTCCTGCTGAGAAAATCTGCTACCTGATTGTTGTGCGAAGCAATGTGAACTGCTATGGGAAACATACAGTATGGCATTCTAGGCACCACTCCCATAGCTTTGAGTTTTGGGACGTTGCAAAAATGTGTGTATGTCCCCATAGTTTGCAGAGATCAAGAAAGACAGATTGGTCGAGGATCCACTCATGCATTTTTGTTCGAGTCCTGCTGAGAAAATCTGCTACCTGATTGTTGTGCGAAGCAATGTGAACTGCTATGGGAAACATACAGTATGGCATTCTAGGCACCACTCCCATAGCTGGACAGCAAGGTAAAGCAAGGGAAGTTAGTGGATGCCTCCCTGCTTGTTTATGCAGAAGAGCACTGTTGTATTGTCTGTGGTTATTTTTATGGCTCTGCCAGTGATGAGAGACTCGAAAGTATGTAGAGCCTTGAAAATGGCTAGTAGTTCTAGATTGTTGATGTGAAGAGATTTTTCAGCCTGAGCCCAAGGGGCTTGTATGCGTAGGCTGTTGCAATGTGCTCCCCACCCGGTGGGGCTGGCATCTGTAGTGACTTGGGTTGATAGCTGTAGTGGTGCGAATGGCCTGCCAATGAAGAGGTTGGCTGGAGTGTCCCACCAGAGTAGTTGAGCTGATAGCTCAGGTGTAACCTTCAGGAGCTTGGTAGGTGGATCTGACATTGGATTGAAGAGGGAGAGGTACTACACCTACAAAGAACGCATCTTTAGTCCGGTATATTGTATTACTGATGTGGTGGAGGTGATTAGGCCTAGTAGACGTTGAGCTTGATGTGCAGTGACCAACGCATAAGGCAGGAAGAAACAGATAAGAGCATGGAGCTTTGCTGCTCATTCCTGAGGTAAGAAAACTCGTGCTTTTTGTGCCAGAGTAAGGATAGATTTTTCTTTGTTGACTGTCAGGCCCAGATCCGCAAAAAGAGAGAGGGTCCTCATTCCTGAGGTAAGAAAGCTCGTGCTTTTTGAGTCCAGAATGGCACCTATGTAAGTAACTCTTTGTGCCAGAGTAAGGATAGATTTTTCTCTGTTGATTCTAAGGCCCAGATCCGCAAAAAGAGAGAGGGTCACATGTATATCTTTTAGAGTTTGAGAACATGAAGGGGATACCAGCAACCAATCGTCGATGAAAGGGAAAATGGAGATTCCTTGAGTGTGGAGGTAAGCTGCCACTGGAGCCATGCATTTGGTGAAGACCCGTGGAGCGGTAGAGAGCCCAAATGGAAGGGCTTTGAATTCATAAATTGTGTGTCCTAGAGAGAATCTGAGGAATTTGTGGTGATCTTGGTGGATGGTAATATGAAAGTATGCGTTGCTTAGGTCAATGATGGCAAACCAGTCATTTTCTTGAAGGATTGGTAGGATTTGTTCTAACGTCACCATACGAAAGCGTTTTTGAATGATGTAGTAGTTGAGGTTCCGAAGGTTGAGGATGGGGTGCAGGCCCCCATCGCGTTTTGGGACAGTAAAGTAATGGAAGAAGAACCTGGGATTTTGTTCTGAGAGGTTGATTGGTGCTATAGTGTCCTTCAGCAGAAGAGATTGTATGTCTTGTTCCAAAATTCCTGATGGTGCAGTTAGAACGATCCTTGGTGGTGGTGTGAGAGTAAATTCTATTGTGTATCCAGTGGCGATGATGGTGAGTACCCATGATAGAAAGTGGGCTGAGTGATGAATGGTGCTGACAAGGGACAAGTGGAGCAGGTGGATCTGAGGAATGGAAAAGTCAAAGGTTCTGCTTTGTCTTCTTTTCAGGGTACTTAAAAGATTGTTTGAGGTGCTGACGCTTCGTGTTGTGCCCAGGTTGAAAAGAAGAGGAAGACTTCAGTAAGTATCATTGTTTGTCAGAGAATGGCTTGTATTGTTTATAGGAATAAGGGCGACGCCATTGATAACGTTGAGGTCTGTAATATGGTTGAGTGTTGTAAGACCGTGCTGTCTTTCTTAATTTTTGCAGATTGTCTAATATTTCATCAGTCTTGTCAACAAAAAGACCTGTGCCATCAAAGGGTAAATCCTTGATGCACATATGGGAATCTTCCGAGATATGGGCTGAATGGAGCCATGCATGTCTGCGAAGAGCGACTGCTGTAGCAATATGTTTAGACGCAGCCTTGATGACATGATATGCAGTAATGCATTCCAGACACGCAAGAGCCATGGCCTCCTGATGGAAAGTGAGGCCATGAGCTTTGTATTCATCAGGTGCCAACTGAAGAGATGGTAGAGCTTTGTTCCACAGAAAGTGATGGCATACTGCCATAGCTGTGAGATAGTTAGCAGCTCAGAGGGTAAACAATGAAAGAGAATAGACTCTGCATCCAATGATGTCTTATTTTCTCCCCTCCTTGTTGTTAGGAGTGGCACTGGAATGATCACATGCTCTGTTTTGGGTAGCATTGATGATTATAGAATTTGGAGGTGGGTGCTTTGAAAGGAAATCAGTAATATCTCCATGAGTTTTATACAGATTCTCGACTCTTTGAGACATTTGCAGTACAGAAGAAGGTTTAGACCAGGATTGTTTAATCAGTTTTAAGAGGGATGGGATAAATCCCATACGGAGTAGTGGTGTTTGGTTTTGTTGATGTCCTCACACACCTTGTCAGACTCAGGTTGGGCAGGTTGTTGGACATTGAGGTCCATAGCCTTGGCTAGGCAGAGCACAAGCTGTGAATAGGACGAAAAATCCTCTGACGGAGAGGGAGGAGTAACGTCCACTACACCAGAATCTGGTGTTGGTAGATTCAGAGGTGAATTGTGAGGCTATAAGGAGTTGGAGGTGTCCGAATCAGAGTATTGCAGAGATGATGGTGGAGAATGTTGGTGATATGGAGAAGCAGGATTGGTGGGAAGAGTCTCTGGTTGGTATCGAGTAGGTTTGTCGGTAGCATGTTGAGACGGTACAGAGCAAGATGTAGATTGGCGGGGCTTTGAGTGTTTCGCATGGCGAGCTGAGCAGTGTTGAGAGGCAGAGGTGGAGGTTCAGTATAGGTAGTTGTTACTTGAACCAAAGATGCATGGACTTGTGAAAGTGTAGTGGGCTCAGTAGGTGGTAGGTGAACCTGAGCTGATGGTCACGATCACTTCGATACCGGCGGCTGCTGCGCCATCACAGGCTAGGAGGAATGACTCCTCTTATGAGAGGGTTTGTACGGCTTCCACCAGAGGTGGAAACACAGTGTCATTCTCAGATGAGGTTTGATAATATTCATGGGACTGTGGATGGTACTGAGGAGGGGACAATGAGTCCAATAGATAAGATGGATAATAATAGGTATACCAGGAACACTTGGGTTCGATGTAGTGACTGGTATGAGATTGCCAGTATCAGTATACTCGATCTCGATAGCTTTTAGGAGGAGACTCATAGAAAGTCAGAGGATCATATAGCGTGACTCGTTTTGGATGGCAATACTGAGTCATGGAATCATGCAATGCCAGCAACGGCGTAGATATGGGAGGTTGTACAAGGTTGGCATCGGATCGGCAAGTCTCTGGTGTATTGTGCATCTTCCTAGAACACTTACATGGAAGAGCCAGGTCAGCCAGGTCAGCAGATGGTGACTCCAAACCGCACACAGAGACAGAGCAACCCATGGATTTGGGGCTCGAATGTACTGAATGTGAGATGACTGTAACCTCAGCCGAGGTGTTAGCCCAGGATGGAAATTGGGCAAGAAGCGGAGAAGGTGGTTGGCCAGATAGTGGTGGCATGAAGTCATCACCAGAAACACTGAGACAGACGGTTGGTTGATCTTGCAAAGGGATTGTCAATGTTGATTTCCCCACGGTTTCTCGGGCAGATTTCTTAGTGGCTTGAGAGTCTGAAGAAGATTTGACTTCTTAGGTTTGGAATAGTCCAGTACCAAAGGAGGTTTCAGTAGGGGTGTGGACTTAGTCGATAGTCCCAAAGATTTGGATTTGGAAATATCCTTAGATGACATCGGCTTTGCTGTCGGAGAAGTAGAGGGCATACCAGGGGATATCTCCTGAGACTGGGGAGTCTGAGCGGTGTCCATAGTAGTCTGTGTCAGGAGGAGAGACAGCTCCCAGAGAAATGATCTCAGGTGTTGCTGTCGGAGTTTGAGTGCTTGTTTTGTAAAATTTTTACAGATTTGACATGAAGGTGGTTGATGGGATTCCCAAAGGCAGAAAAGACAGTGGTCGTGTCCATCAGAAAGGGGAATTTCGTTTGGATATGAAGCGCACCATTTAAACAGGGCTACGGGTGCCATAAAGGGTGGAAAGGAAGAGGAAAGGGGAGACGGTCAGAAAAGGGAGAAACAGCTTGAAAAGTCTCTTACTGTTTTCCGTTAATTTACTCTTAGAAAGAAACAAAAGCAGTTGGAGAGCTCAACGTGAGATGAAACCTCAGTGGTGGCAAAAAAAAAAAGACTGAGGCAATTGCCAGGACTGGCGGACCACGTGTACTAGGGGGCGGTCCTGGCAAACGTGTAATAGACCTCTAGAATATTCCGGAAATCTCTGCGCAAGCACAGATAAAATCCTATAGTGCGTATTCACAGAGACCACGAAGAACAAAGTTATAAATCTTATTAAGTTGTTATCTAAGCTTGTGGAAGCTATACACACTGAAGGAAGTGTGCTCACCCTGACCACTGTCATGAGTTTTAACTTGTGAATGCAATAGCCTGAAGAGGGGTAGGCTGCTCTAGCAGATAGCTTCTCCGTGTAAAACCTCTGGTTCACATGGAGAGGTTTGCTAAATGAACAGAGAAGCATCCATCTCTTCAGGCTGTTGCTTCCATGTGTTAAAAAAAGGGGACAGAATGGCAACTCAATACTTGTTAACTCCACATTCTTAGATAACTGAATAAAGCTAGAGATACTGTTTAATTAGTGAACAGGGTGGTACATTAATGAACATGCCATTCACCACTAAAATACAGAATTAGGGTCCTCAAGATTTACTGATGGCAGTCACTAAATAAATGACTAAAAGGGGAGTAGAAAAAATCATGGAATGTCTGTGGATACTGGTCACAATTATATTCAGTATTGGAAGTAGCACCACTCTTAGTATCACTTCTAGGGAAATATGACTGGGGAGGTATTACGGCCCTCATGTGGTGCTTGCAAGTTTCTCATAGGGACCTGACTGTGCTCTGTAGCAACAGAGTGGTAGCCAACCCAGGGATCTGAACTCATCCTGCTTCAGGGATGTTCACAATAAATATACCTAGGTTAGGAAAGACACTTGATTTACTCAGATGATTTAATATTCACCTTTTAATTCTTAAGGTGTAAATCATGACGAATCCCTCAGATAATCCTTCAAAACAGTTCACATTCTTGAGTCAATGTATTATTAACTCTCACCTCCTTTTCCTCTCTTGTCCTCTTTTTGATTGTAAACTTACGGGCCTAGACTTTTTTTATTGACATGTAAACTGATCTGAGAGAACTTCCAGCTTTAAGGACAAGTATGTATGCTCCGAATAAATAAACTAATGGAAACACCTGAACCTCTATGGGCTACTACAACACTGATCATCATAACAGGAAAAGGTCCTTGTATATTTTTTTTTAGTAACTCTAATTCCTTTTCTTGCTGGGAGAAACTCCAACTGACATTATAATGAGGTTAGGAATCAAAGTTCTCTTACTTACATAAAATAGCCAAGTAGCAATTCTATTGCCTGTACCAAGTTCTTTAAAGGCATCTGGCTCATCTTTCTGTGCCGAAAAAATATACATGAGATTAATGTACAAGCCAAGTAAGCATAGCATATGGGGCTTCAGTGTTAGGACATTTAGAAAAAAAATTATTTTTTTTAATTCATGACAAAATTAGTAAGAGTTGCCTTAAAGAACAATTTGTTTTGAAGTTAGAGGCATTCATTATATAATCAGTCATTACATCGGCTGGATTTTTATCATTTTAAACACATGAAATGTTTAAGATGCAACACATGCATTTGTTATCCTGGAGCCTATCCAGACATTACTAATTGGGGGAAAATCCCAGTTTCCTACTAGATCTATTTAAACGTACTACCTATTTGCTGGGGTGGGAGGGAAAGGCCCTCATTTCTTTCAAAGGACAGAATATGAAGTAATTGAAATTGAATACCAGTGGCCATTCTACTGATCCAGTATTTTTACCCTTTCACGATTTTGCAACTTTTGATGCTACCCAGGCAGCTGGTTTTGCAATAACATTTACTTTTATTTCCCACCTGCATTTTTAAAGCACTTTGACCAAGTTTTACTAATCTAGCAATACAGTACCTGGACTTACAGAATGCACCAGCAGGGAATACATTTGGTTTCTACATAGATTACTGCCAGTAGTGCCTTCTTCATCTGAAGGTACTACCCTATTTCCCCGAAAACAAGACCTAACCTGAAAATAAGCCCTGGTATGATTTTTCAGGAAGCGCGTACTATAAGCCCTACCCCCCAAATGAGCCCCAGTTAAGTGAAACCCCACCCTCCACCATTGTGTAGCAACCAGAAGAAGATGACATGACTATAAAATAAAACATCCCCTGAAAATAAGCCCCAATGCGTTTTTTGGAACAAAAATTAATAGAAGACCCTGTCTTATTTTCAGGGAAACACAGTATTATTCTAATATTCAGGGCTTGTCACATTATTAGGAGTTTTCAGAGTCTAAGAGGAATCAACAGGAATCATAATCATGAAATTAGACATGGTTATTCAGTGTAAATCCTCTCCTTAGGCAGAGCAGGCTCCTACTAAAGACTTCTCTTGAAACTGCCTCTCCTATGTTTGGGGAAAAAAAAGTTACAGAGAACCAGGCGACAAAGAATCGTATCCTGATGAAATGTAACTCAGGTCAAGTTGGCAGCTTTAACTATCTATGCCAACAAAAACAAAAGTCTCTTCATCCCTAGAATTACAACAGAAATTGTGTAATACTGGTCAACCCTAATTACTTTCACATGTACATCCTTGGTGGGTCTCCAATAGTTCTACCCACACAGGAAACAACCAAAGACTACATTGGCTTCCAGTCCTTTTCTAAGAACAACTCAAAAGTGTTGGTTTTAATTTTTAAATTAAATGGCTTTGGGTCAGAGTACCTGAATGGCCATCTTCTCCAAAGGACACATTTCAGATCCAAAGATTTTCACAGTCCTTCTGCAGGTTGTTCCAACAAATTAGCTGGGGTAGATGGTACACACTCCCCAGATGCTTCATATTCTTTCTCTTGTTTGTTTGTTGTTGCGCCAAGTGAAAAGATGTGGGCGTTGGGCCTTTTTTAGTTTTATCACCTGGGTTGTTTAAATTTTTTATTTTTCATCTCAAGATCTTTTGAGAATCTATGAATTTTGCCATTTTAAGGGTTAAAGATTTCTGAAGATTCTGACCTGCTTTAAATTTTACCATCTTGGCTTTAATTTTTGCTACTGGACTTCAGTCTGTATTTAGATACTGTATCTTGTTCACACTAAGCCACCACAAAATCTTTCATTACTGGGTAGAATATAAATGTCATTTTACAAAATTAAACCCGTCTATTTTTGGACATTTTGCTAATCTTTCTGGAACTAAGTCCCTAAAACAGTGAGACTTCTTGCATGTGACAGCACAGACATGACATATAGACACAGTATAAGAGTATGCTGCAAAAATATTATTTAAGTTAAATTCATGCGAGTAGACAAAATCTATTAACTTGCAACATATATGCAAAACAAAATGTATTTAATTTTGAACTGGGAAGGAAGTCAAGATTTTATGTTAAGTCATGATTTTTAGATTAATATAAGATGGATCTGATTCAAGAAAAATGTTAAGAGGAAGTGTTACTTGACACATAAATGCCCTGTAAACCACCATCTGAGTTCAGTTTCCTTGTTATTTGTAGCCTTATATTAAGAAAAAAAATTAAAAACCCAGATTTTTTGCATTGGTGTAAAAGCAAACAGACTTTGACATCCTAGTAACTAAAGATCATTTGGCTCCTCTGGTCTGTGCAACTGCTTAAAACATAGGTATAATCTGTCATGATTTCAGGGAATTGAAAATATCCAAAGCTATACAACCATATTTGGATCAAAACGAAAACCAAACCATTATATTTCAATATATGAACTCTTTCACCATTACTTCAAATGCACTAGCCAATTTCTTACAACTCAGATTTTACAAAGCAGTACATCTAATCCTCTTCTTTACTTGTTAACATTCATCTTTAATATTTCATTATTATTTCTTGTCATTCTTTGTATTTTTAATATTCAGATGGTGGTTTAGAGGGCTTTATCCATTCATACAGATTAGAAGACGTGATAGCCTGAATTGAATGCAGATATTAACATTTATGCCACAGGCCTTAAAGCCTAGGCTTTGGAAGATTTTTCTTGACACATCTCTTTACTTGCCCGAGCAAAGTCATAGTGGGGCTCATATTGTCCTCCCACTCCATAATTTGCTACCTGGAAAAAAGAAACACAGTACATGTGAAGCATAAAAGCAGGACAGAGAAAGACTTACCCTTCCAAAATCAAAATGAGGCTCGTACTGGCCTCCTACGCCGTAGTTGGCTACCTACAGTAGAAGAAGCAAAATATCCAATAAACCACTCTTGATGAGATATTAAGCAGATTTCATGTTTACACTGACATTTTGCTAACAGAGGGTAAAAAAGCTTAAGCATTCACAGATCATTCTCGAATGGCATGTTTAAAATGAATAGGACTGAACATTGTTTTCTTTTAATTAGGGCCACAGACTTGAAGCTAGTCCTTCAAACATAAAGCAAAGTTATGCAATAGTCTGAACCGTACATTTTAGCTGTCCTGTAACTGCACACTTAACAGTATTTTAACATGTGATTCACTTGACATCCTTTTCTATACTGAACCCCCTACCTTTGTTTTCTTAATTCTGTTAATCTTTTTGTAGAAATTCTAAATTCTTTAAAAGCATCTGCTTTATTTTTACTAAATGCTAACTACTGGGAGCCAAGTGCATTCCACTTTTGTTTAATTTTAAATAAAAACTACCTATGGGGAAGAGCAAAACAGCAATCCTGTGGGTGTCTGCTTAACTTTCCCCTACCAGCCATGGGCTCCTCCCTGCCGTCCCCATTCCAAAGAGCCAGTTGAGACTAATAAGTACAAGACACCATTGCTCTAATTTCTCTCCAGGAGGTTTTTCATATTAAAAAATAGGGGCATAGCTCAAGTCACATACTTTCCTGCAGCAAACAGCATGCTAACCTTCCCTTTCCTTTCCAAAAAATGCTGTCTGTTGTTTTACAGCTGAGAAAGAGATTAGCAGAATCTTGTAGTCTTATGTCTTTAAAAACACTATTTTCTTATATGAATATGTAAAATTAACATTATGTGGTGTGCAGGTTGGTTGATATGCTCAAAGCATAGCTCACATGGCTGATCACATGATAATATTTGCTTTATTGGCTCACCTGCAGCTCTTCTGCTGTAGAAACATCCAGTCCGGTTAGATCCTGTATTCTTGCATTAATACGTGCCACTACAGGGTGTTCATAACCAGACAACCAGGCACTAAACATGAAACATGGGATGTCATTCTTGAACAATATGAAGAATCAGCTTGCAAGACTAATAAACAACCACTCTGAACTAGACAAAAAAGTCTATAGGCCAATGTTTAGCCTAAATGTAGAATGGATAGCCTAATAACTCCCTTACAATGAACACTTTTATTCCTATGTGCACATATGGCAAAACTGCACCATATGCAGAGCAATATCTTTTGCTGATGTATACCCACATTAAAATTGCCTAAATAGCTTCTGAAATAAAGCGCACATGAAGAACATTGCATATGTAATACTACAACACTATGGCTCTGAGTGCAAGAATGTACTTTCTGTATACTGTGGTACACTCCTGAAGACAGGTGTTTTGAGTATGTTAAAGTCCCAGTTATAATTACACTGTGGCTCATTTGCTGATTGCTGCTTTAGTTGAACAAGCCATTAATTGTGTCTGGAGCAAAACAAATGTGGTTTATCCACCCTATTCTCTAGTTTTAAGTGCCATGCCTCTTGTCAAAGCAATGAGCCAGGCTGTGAACAATACTCTGTTTGACTTTCTTATATGCCTCATGATGTGCTTGAACTCTGATATACTGTATGGGCTCAGTCAGGAAAATAAATAAGCCTTTCCATGTTGTTATGACACTTGGAATTCCCAGCTCTGCACTAAAGAGCTGGCAGAAATACCTGTTGTGGAAAAGGTTGTCTGATAGATAGTTGCAAGGCTATATGAAAATTTACAAGCTTACAACCAACTGAAAAAGATGTCTCAAGTCAATTCTGCACTTTATACATGAATTTCAGGCAACTACTAATGGCTTTTGACAAAAAGATACTAACTTCTGTCAAGTATAACAAAAGGTTATACCATATCATCATCTAAAATATTTATACCCCATATCCTCCTGAAGAGAACACAAGGTGGCTTAGCATTTTAAAAACAAACAATATAAACACTGGAAGGAGAGAGGAAAAACCAACAAACTCTTAGGCAGTCACATGAACACAGATAAGTGGATGTGGACTCTGCATGTAACAAACCACTTGTTATTCTGAAACCATTTTAATGCGCTTTCAATAGGACTATAACTAATGGTTAGGATTGTGGCCGTTTTTAAAATAACCTTACAGATCACTCTCAAGACTAGAGGCTGGGATGGGTGTACAGCTTAAAGATGGGCTACTCCTACTTTAAAAGCAATGTCCAGAAGAAGTATAAATTTAAATGAAAGAAAACAGGATTATTGTCATTCGTACTGGAGAACCTATGAAGAGTTTGTATCTTTAATTAAGGTCTTTGCAGTTTCTAAAGTAAGCACATTTCTAAAGTGCCCATTCTACTTTTACCCTTTCCCATTCCAATCTGCTTTTTTTTAAATAACTGCAATTGTTCCTCGCATATTCTCAATGTGAGGAATAGCTATTCTGTTTCATGGTTCGTTTTCATTTCCACAGTTACCACCCTTTCCTTGAAAGATAGAAATACATCAAAAGTACCTTTTTCTCAGCACAGAGAAGCATGGGAAGGCTGATACTTCCCATGTACCTATTTAATAGCAAAGCATTCTACCAGATATGAGGTAGCAAGTATTTGCCTGTTGAAAATGTCTATTCTTCCTTTCTGTTTGCAATTTTACCAACAAGACCAAGCATCACAGTTTATACACCATGATGAGAAGGGCCACCCAAAAGTTAGAAATTTTTATGTTCAGCCATTATCATTACCAAATGGCTACAAATGCCATGGACAAATGTATTATATATCTGTGGGTTTGAAAGCATGAAACTTCACTTGTCATGTAGATTCACTGCCCTACATTCAAGAGGATTACTACAGTAGATTTTTTTTGTCCTTCTTTCAAAAGGATTGCAATAAATCCCTAAGGAAAATCAGGGAAACCGTGACATAACACAGGTTACAGAATCTCGAAGAGTATGGGGAAAATATCATTTGACAATGATTAGCATGTTAGTAAATGAAAAACTTTAGGAACAAACTCAGGGTCTTAAAGTAATTGTTACTGTAAGAAAGAAAGGAATAAAAATGCTGTCTAATGAAAAAGAAACCAGTAAAAATAAAAATTAACTAGGTTAATATAAATTGGCTACTAAATTAATTCTGAGCTCAATTCAAAATAGTGGGTGTCACTCACAGCTTGGAAAAGATTAACATTTTGACCACAACTTCCAGAATTCCCAAACGAGCATGGTCATTTGTAGTCTAAAATTACAACCCAAAATAGTAGCCTAGCCCAGAATATCATCATACCATATAAGCCTTCCCCGCTTCTTGTTGTGCTCATTGAAAAACAATCTTACCCCAAACTCTCCTTCTTATATAATTGTTATAATGATATATAGGGAACTCCTCTGGCATTAATTCATTCAATGTCCTGTTTCACTTCAAGTCACTCAGCTTATTCCCACCTATCAAGTAATAAAGCAAAGCAAAGCGTGCTGCTTATATACCAACCCATAGTGCTTCAAGCACTCTCTGGGCAGTTTACAAGTTAATTATGCAGGCTACACATTGCCCCCCCCCCAGCAAGCTGGGTACTCATTTTACCGACCTCGGAAGGATAGAAGGCTGAGTCAACCTTGAGCCAGCTACCTCGGATTGAACCCGAGGTCATGAGCATAGTTTGGGTTCCAGTACAGCCATTTAACTACTGCGCTACGAGGCTTGTGGGGTCGGGGAGAGGTAGAGATATCTTATTCGGAAATTGGACTACGTCCTATTTCCTTTCTCAGGAAGCTCAACTGTCAACACGTTTCATTACTCCTCAACATCATATTGAAGCAAAAATAACTTTGTAGGTTTCCTGTATCACTTTCAAGATGTCATATTCTCTGAAATCTCTAAACGACTGTTGCTACTGTTAACACTTTTTTCAATTTAAGTGTGTAAAGATAATTTTATAGGCATAACAGTATCCCTCATGAAATAAGCAATTAGCCAGGGAAGATGCCCTTCCTTCCACTGCAGTAATAGTTAACAATCGTTTTCATTCCTTAAAGGAATCCACATTGCTCCACTGCAGATTTTGGAAAACTCCAATATTGAAGAACTGCTGCTATAATTTTTAATGTGTTGTCAAAAGATATATTTGTCTAATGGAGATTCTTTCCCATAATTTAAAAAAAAAAGTTATGTTGTGGGAAAAGGAGTTTTTCCAGAGATAAAGCTGTACTTTAGAGCAATTGACTTTCTTACAAATGTACATCATGGGCAGCAGCTCCCTGAAAGCTGTGCGAGGCTGCTAGAATTACGTGCACATGGCTTGGCTCACAATATTGCTTCCCGCTGCTGGCTAAACGCCACCTTATATAGCCTGCCACGTACTTCAGCACAAACAGTAGTCCCCCTCATAAGCAGAGGCATGGTATAATATAGAAATGTGTTAGCTAGGAAAGAGCGTGTGGAATGTTTGGAAGGAGGAAGCAGGCTTCTCTTAAAAATACAAGAGGCAGTATTTTTGTTTCCCAGTAAAAAGTTTTGGTTAGAAATCATTCCAGCATCCTGGAGAAAGGCACAAAGCTATTTCGTTGCCAGTCCAGTTTCCAGCTTCAAAAATTCTGGCTGCCTGGCACTGTTACGAGTTTACTACAGGTACGTAGCAGTTCAGAGAGCTAGTCAAAATGCCCATCCTGCTTAGTATTACTTTTCTCACGGAAAAACTGCCTAAGAGTATGCGATTCTAACAGCCAGTCAGAATCAGTTCTGAAATGGGCAGAGGATTGTATGAAGAGCGAGGAACATGGGATAGGCAATGGCTATGCTTTATGTCTGCCACAAGAAGCAGGCAAAGACCAATTGCAGGTCAAAGAAATGACCAAAATGTCCATAACTGTCAAAATATCCCCCTCCCCCCCCCAGTTTTGCCATTACTCAGAAATAACATAAGCTGGTGACATAGTATACTAATCTGAGCACCAGGAGACATTTTTCTCCTGGTCCTTAAGCATAATTCTGAATATCACAAATCTCTGATATCCTGGTCTGTCTCTGTCTCGCTGAATCTATCCTCCAAACACAACGCAAAACTGAATAGGTCACGTGTTACTTAAAGGGTTGATTTTGTTCACAAATTCTGTTTGGCCCTTGTACCAAAAAGCTGGTTGATGAGACATAATTTGGTACCATTCTACTGTGCGCATAGCCACAGGAGCATAAGGCATCCAAAAAGCCATTTTCCATATTTGGTGACTGAAGTACCGATCTATTATACAATTCAAGATCACTTTTAACACTCATTTTGTGGTACATACATAGGCAGAGACTACTTGAAGGCTTGAACCCAAATCCAACTGTTAGTCCCAGTTAAATCAATCCCACTATCAAATCAATGGTGACATGATAAGTCAACAAATTTCACAGATTCATGGGGTGTGCTCTAATCCAGACAAGCAGTCAGGTCCAGGAAATTAAATATCACTGTCTATTAACAACAGATAAATCTTTTAATGGTAATTTCAGTGCACTGCAATGACTACATTTTTGCCACAGACTGCACCTTTTAATCATTACACTTTTTTAAAATGACAGGCAGAGGTAACTACCATGTTTCATACACTAACCATCTAAAAATAAGACTCTGAACTAGGGACATGCTACTATCATTACCTATTACTGTTATCACAGAATTCTGGGAACTGTTTAAAATGAACAGAGATACCATGACACTAGAGTAGAACCAAGCTGATGATGTGGTGCATAGTTCACTCAGATTCTGTTTAGGATTAAAGAATTTGATACATTATATTACTATGATCATGCAGACAGAGAATAAGGTCCATGCAAAAGTGCTCAAGTCCCATGAATTTCTGTGGGAGAGAATTTAGTCCAAACCTGGCATGCATAACTTTAACTAGCTCTCAGCCAAGGGCTTAAAATTCAAGCAATCCAGAGTTACAATGCAACAAGATGTTAGTGCTCCATTCCGATCCTACATTATTTTTTATAATTTAAAGAAGAGGAAAAATACGTACAGCATTCTACACCAGGTGTGATGCAAACTGTTGCAAAGGGAAATTCTGCAGCAGTTGAGATATACCAGTGTCCCCTTACCTCTTAGAGACTCTGTAATGGGCTGTGGTCAGTTTCCCAGTCTGAGGGTCATGCACAGTAGCTCGGCTCAGCTACAAAAAAGAGAAAGGACAAGGGCTTACTCTAGTAGCAAGCTTCTGGGCCAAGCCACAGGCAATCAGAAGGGTTCTGATTGGTCTGGATGGAATGTAATGCTTAGATCAGAAGGAATGTTTAAAAACATTACAGTAGCCACTGCTACTTTTACACCCCAATTCAACTCAATTGGTTCAATAAATTTTGGTTAGATTGTCCTTTCACTTTTTCTCCCTCCAAATGGAAAGTTTATGCAAGCCACTTGTTTGCAGAGTTTCACAGAAAACCTCTTAGTATCCAGAAGTTAAATGTTCTTTTTGTCTTTGTGACTCCATTATTTTTTTCACTGTTTGAACTCATATGCTAATGCTACTGAAATCTTTTCATTACTACATACACACTTAAACTGGTTTTGAAATTTCATATAAAACAATGATTGAGTGACATTATCTACAAAGAATGCACTGCTAGCCCCTCGAGTTATTTACTTTTTAAAAACAAAAAAAGAGGCTGCAATCAAAAACTCCAAACCAGAAAGTTTAGCTGTGCCTGCAAAACTTCACCTTGTTGGAATGAATGTAGTCTTAATACACAGAAGGCTGGATTTTAGCAGTGAAGCAACAGTTTGAAACACGTGCTCAGTTATGAAATTCACTGGATAACAGATGAGGCCATTCTCTGTCTTGGAGCCTAATCCACATCACAGAAATCTCATGGGAATTAAAAGGAATAACCTATCATGTGTACTACCCTGAGTTCCTGGAAGGAAAGGCAGAATACAAATACAGTAAGGAATAGTAATATTGCAGGGTGGAGACAGAAAACAGTCTGATAGTGTCTGATACTGAAGCTAAAGAGCATGGACAGGATCAGTTTCCTCCAGAGGATGAGCCACATGTAAAAGTAGGATATAAATTGTACACTGAATTACTCTTTCATATTACTAATATAGTTATAACCTCACTCCTTTCAATAATTGTTGTTTACCAAGAAGAAACTTACCGTATTTTTCGCACCATAAGATGCACTTTTTTCCACAAAACAGGGGGGTGGAAAGTCTGTGCGTCTTATGGAGCGAAGTTCTTTGATATTACTAATATAGTTATAATCTCACTCCTTTCAATAACTGTTGTTTACCAAGAAGAAACTTATTTGACATTATCTAGAAAGATTTAAGGTTCAAGCAGCATACTGATGCACATCACATTACAAACAGATGTCGAGTGTAACCCATGTGCTTGGCTACAGCTAAACAAAGTTAGGCAATATAGATTGGTAGTTTGTGTTATAATGGATATACAAAACAGTTCATCTTTTAAGACACACAGCCAACGTTAGGTCTTGCCAAAATAGCATCTCTGTGGTTTCTATATACTTGAAGTAGGGAGTTCAACCTACTGGCAAAGAAATCATTATAGATGCCAATTATGGACCTATAGGAGAATATTCTTCAAAAACTAAAATATTCTCTGGTTTTTGATGGAGAAAAGTGACATCCTGTATGGAAAAAAAGTTATCTAGAAAGTTTTAAGGTTCAAGCAGCATACTGATGCACATCACATTACAGACAGATGTCGAGTGTAACCCATGTGCATGGCTACAGCTAAACAAAGTTAGGCAGTATAGATTGGTAGTTTGTGTTATAATGGATACGAAACAGTTCATCTTTTAAGACACACAGCCAACGTTATGTCTTGCCAAAATAGCATCTCTGTGGTTTCTATATACTTGAAGTAGGGAGTCCAACCTACTGGCAAAGAAATCATTATAGATACCAATTATGGACCTATAGGAGAATATTCTTCAAAAACTAAAATATTCTCTGGTTTTTGATGGAGAAAAGTGACATCCTGTATGGAAAAAAAGCAAAACAGATATCTCTGCCCAACTTAAAAATAAATAAATTTACATCCACTGATGCTGCAATAGACTACCTCATAAGTAAGCAAACAAGAACAGAACTTCTGGCTACAGTAATTTTCTGAGAAACTCAGCAGAACAGTTTTGTCGCAGTTCCTGCATATAGTAAGAAACAGACCGGAAAAGTTTAATCTAGTATCTTTCCTGGCCACTTTCTCCCCAAATGAGTACCACAAAGGCACCCATTATGGGGACACAATATATGGCACATGAAGTCTTACCTTTTGCTAATTCTGTAATGTGCAGTCTCCAAGACTCCCGTTATGGGGTTTGAAATGGTGGCTCGCCTCAGCTGTGAAGCGAACCAATCAGAATAGTTGAATTACAATGTACATATTGCATCACATCAATCCGACCATTCAGAATCCCATGGTGGAGCACAGTATTCATTTCCCTCAAGACAGTACGTGCAGCAACAGGATTAATATTGTGTGCAATAGTGAAATTCACTGCCAAGCTGATACTAATATTTGTAACATACAAATACATGAATGGGACTCACCTGCACCTAGCCTGAAGTAGCAGGCTGCTCCTAGTAGTTTATTGCAACCATGGTTAGAATCAAAAATAAAGAATGAATAATGAAGTTGGATAAGGCCGTCTATTTTGCTTGCTTGCATAAGTAAGATCAAATTTGACAGGTTACAGCATGTATTTGACTACTTCAGTGCAGCATCATGTTTTTGTCAGCCCAGACATACTTGTGCATGGCTTAAGGTAGGAACAGTTTACTGACAAGTCTCTTCTAGTTATCGTTTCTCCCTGCTGCCCTTTGATGCTAACACAGGTTGGGAGCACAAGCTTGTAGCCATGCATCTTATATGGCTGACACCTCTTGGGACTCTCTTTCATTTCTCAAAAAAATTGTCAGTCCAAAATGAAGAAGTGTTACACAACACAGGTGAGCATTGTATGCTGTTACTTCCACATACCCCTTCAATCAAGAAATCAGAAAACTTTGGCTGAAAAATCTTTGAGATGTTTTCTATTTCTTAAAGGGTTGTGGGGCTTAAAAAAACCTAAACTCCCTGCTGGATTAAAGCAGCAAAACAAAACATACAGTTTGCAACTCAACAGTGCTACTGGCTATGACAGCACCTATTCCATTGAGTTGCCTATAGATGTGTGCTAACAAGACAAAATCAAGGCCCAGAACATGCAAACTGCTTCTAACATGGCAGCCACCCATCTCTCCAGGAAATGTGTAGCACCCCTCTGCATCACAACAGAATCTTCTGGCCAACCCATCATGTTTCCACAAGTGGCTACCAGCTGTCACCCTCTTGGTTTAGGATACAACCAGGCTTCATGATCAGAGTATGGGTGGGGGAGCACTGGGTCACAGAAAGCAAGGATATGACCCATGTCCTTCTAAGCTACTGGACTGTGAAGAATCCTCTCCCTTGCCTTAACGTCATGCTCAAGAAGCAGGCCCTCATCAACATAACAGGGGCAGGAATGGTTTATATTGGCAACTGTTTCCAAAAATCAAATCATTCACATTTATATTCTGTGAATAAGCTGGAGGGTTTTTTTAAAAAAAAACAAGAAGTATAACAATGAATCAGTTTTTATTTTTCTGTTTTTTCTAAAGAAACATGGTTTATTGAACTAAAACCTGTTTCAGATGACACGGGAAGAAACTGTGTTGCTCATTTATCAGTAATCTAAACAGACTTACTTATTTCTCATCCAACACATTAGAGTATCTACAAAGTGTGTGAGTTAACCAGAACCTTCTTCTATTTACAAACTACATGAGGATTTCATTACTACAGGGAATAAGGATGTCTAACACCATCATAAGTATTGTGAATCTATGCTTTTAAGTGATCTTTAGGGAAAAAAACATGTAGAAAATAATTAAAATTGTGGTGTTAGGGGCGCCTTCATTAAAGGAAAATTCATGTGTGGTGAAAAAGTCTTTTACCATGTCTTTTCTAGAGTATCTTCCAAAATAAAATATGCAGACATTCAACATTTAATTGCTAGAGGAATGATGCAGAGGAAACTAGCCCAGATTGTATATGGGCTAGCCCAGAATTGCCTAGTTTGACCGGCAATGGCTCACCTTGTTATTTTTTTAAAAAACTGTTATTCTAAAAAACAGAACAATTTTTTAAAAAAACTGTTATTCTAAAAAACAGAACATGCCAATGACTGAACCTGCGACCTCTGACACTAAATGATTCCAAACTGTCTACACCAGGGGTTTTAAACTCAATTTACCTGGGGGCCACTAGAGGCTGAGTCTGGGTGAGGCTGGGCCGCATCAGATTTTTCGCCAAGTGGAGCAAGAGCCTAAGGAAGCCACCCAGGAGTTTCCTTAGCCGACAGACAGGTGGGCTGGCTGGCAGGCTGCAGAGGGCCACAAACTATCATCTGGGTGGCCGGAAATGGCCCCCGGGCCGCATGTTTGAGACCCCTGGTCTACACTCTACAATGCACAGAGAGGAAATTTAATAGCACAATTTCTAAAAGCAAGGTCTGTTACAGTGGAGCAGGAGATGGGCACAGCAGCTTCTACAATTAAACAAAATGAACAAGCTAGGTTCCTTACCCTTGGTTTTGCAAGCTCTTTGACAGTTTCTATCTCTTCATCAGAAATTATTTCAATGAAACGAACAATCCGAGGGAGGTCCCACTCATCCTCTTGTTTGACAGGTCCCAAGATGTACCTGGGATTCCTGTTCCCATCATAATAGCGGCAAAAAAGTTTTCTTTGTCTTCTTGGAGTCTAAAAGATGGGGGGGAAGAGTTCAATGTTTATAAATGAAGACGTATACCTGGTAGGAAATTAATATCTAGCACTGGCACTGGAGTTTTATTATATATTGTTTTATTATATATTTTAAGGAATAAAAAAATAATTGTAGCAAGAGCAATTATAACTAGTTCATTTGTTAAAACTAAGATTATAAAATAAATCACCAATAAGGTACAGAAGAAAATTGTCAATACTATGAAAAAAAGTACAGTTCACTGGAGGGGGGGAATTAACATATAAAGCAGATAACCATTATGGAAACACCACCTTCAATTAGGGAGATGTCTCCATAGATTTCTATGTGCCAATTTTGAGAATAAGCTGCATTATCATTATTAACATGATTAATAAATGGATATCATAGTTTTAAAAACAATGACTGTGTGTTTCCTTACCTACACATCCAGACAATCAGTTTTTCCATCAGCACTAGAAATCATACTCTGTTTTTCTACTGAACTAGTGATTATTCACTACCATTTTTCCAATTAAAGGAAATTTCTAGTCTTACTCCTGAACACTGATTAAGGAATAGATTTCAATGCAGGAGAAATGTATTGTTTTCCAGGAAAAAAGACAGAAGACCCAGTGCAGGTGCAATTTTTATTTTTTAAGTTAGTGATGGGTTCCGTTTCAGAGTAAATTTGTATGCAAAATGTATTAACTGGAAGTAACAGTCACCAGATATGATTGTACACAGAACTGATTAATTGGTAGGTACAACAATCAGATATGAATGTAAGTGCTTAATAAAGTGTTCCATCTTAAATTAATGTTGCTGATTATATCATTTACTTATAACTTTTACCACATAAAAATAAAGTTAATACAATGTTTTCCAGCTTTCTGTAATATGTGTTAAGAAACTTTCACAAGCACATGAAGATTAATTACCATTTTGAGACCCTCACCACGGCACAACATTTCATATTTCTGTCTTTCTGGTAGATAATCCTTGGAAGGTCCTTTTCTCTTTGTCTTGCTTTCTTTCTCAGTCTGCTCATCTGTTTGGGCAACAGACTTGTTTGCTTCCTTTTCCTTTTCTTTAGACATGATATATTCAAAGTATTTCAAGTTGCCATTTGCTCGCTGATGTTCTGGATCTATTGCAAAAAAGGGAGCAGAGGAAGTGTACAAAAAACATTACCACTATGAAGCCCCTTTGTGAAATGCCAATTTTCCCAATATTAAATTTGGTTTTAAGCATACATTTGTTGAATGCGGCAACATCTAATCCATTGATATCAGCTGTTTCATTTGGAACTTATTCATATTCTCGTTGAAAAAGGAAAAGACAAATACCTAACTAAAAGAAACATATAGAATGTTTTGTTGTGCCAGCTGCTTCTCATGTGAATCTTCACAGAGGAAATTAAATAGACTTCAAGAATAAGTATTTCCAGGATTCATTGCAAAGCCTTTAGATTGGATTGGCTTCTATGACTATGTGAGCACAGGACAGTTTCAAACCACTAGCAGCGTGATCCATTGAATGCCCACTAGAAAGTAAATACCACAGTACTGTATAGGACTGTAGCCGACTAAAATGATGTAGCATTGAGAAAATAAACTGCAATAGTTTTTTTTTCCAGCTCACTCTGTCGCGTGGATTCGATCTTACAACTGCTGGTCTTCTGACCCTGCAGCACAGGCTTCTGCGGTTTAGCCCACAGCGCCACCACGTCCCAGATGCAATGTATTAGCAGTTGTGAATTTGCAAAGAGATCAACCAACGTACTGGTTACAACAGGGATGAGCAACCAGATGTTTTTGGATTGAAAATATCACCTCTTATCACTGGTTATGTTGGGTAGGGTTGGCAGAAGATGCAGGCCAAAAACATCTAGAGAATCTCATGTTGCCCATCCTGGTCTATAATAAATTACTAATACAGCAAAAATGTTGTACATGCAACACATGCAGATATAGCAATTTTGAAATTTTAGAATAAATAGTTAGAAAGTTAGAACAATCAGAAAGTAAACAATTTTTAGAGAATGTGAAGGAAAGGATAAAATACCGTAGTTCACATCACAAAGTAAAAGAAGCTTTGCCTTCCCCCGACCACCATGCCACCAAAAGAGAGAGAGATAGGAAACCTACAGTAATTGCAACATACTGAAATTATACATGATCAACATTTACCTATCTTAAGTAGCCGTTTTGTAAGCATCATTGCTTTGTCGAGATCTCCCTGCTGGTAAACAGCATAACTTAAGTAGTCTAGAACAGAAACCTTATCAATGGACGATGAAACTTCTCCATCATCCAGCTGTTTCAGAGCTTGCTCCATCCACAATTCTGTATGGTAGTAGTCTGCCTCTGTGTATGCAATTTTGCCCAATTCAAAGCAATCTTCAGCTGTAAGAAATGTCTTATGTTTCACTCCTACAAGAAGAAATCAAAAACAGCTGTTAAGTCATCAAACACTCTGCTACTGACATCCTCAAATTCCTCCAAGAACTCCAGTGACAGACTTCTTTAGTAGTTTTTTTTTAATGACACAACACAGAGAGAAACAAGTTAGTATAAATAATGCTAACGGAAACTACATAAAGCTGTTTATTTTGTACCAACTATAATTTACTTGAAACCTTTCAACCACCAATCCTGAAATAGCAAAATCCCAGACTTGAAACAGTTTAGATTCTGTTTAAAACAGATGTACCCATAAGGATGGAACTGGAGGTGGGGAAAGGAGTTCCTAATTATAATCTAGAGACGTACTGATTACTTGTAAATAGTGTATTTACTTCTACTATACTGTATTTAGAATCTATTTAGATTCTCTATTTAGAATCTACATCTATATCTAAAAATACTTATTTCAATGGGAATTTTTAGATATAGATACTAAATAGATGGAGATTTGTGGTTTTGGACTACAGGTTCCAGTACAGTGGACCCTCAACTTACAGAATTAATCCATATTGGAATGGTGGCCACAGGTTGAAAAGTCCATAGGTCAAGGGTCCATTTCCCATTGGAATGCATTGAAAACCATTTAATCCATTCCGGCCAAAGAAAAAAAAATCCCAGGCTTCCAAAGCTGTACCCATGGGGATGGGAGGCAGAGGGCACCGGGGACAGGAGACAAGAGGGCAGTGGGTGCAGCTTTTGAATCCCTGAAAGCTGGCAGCAGGCACAGGAGGCAGAGGGCACCGGGGACAGGAGACAAGAGGGCAGCGGGGGTGGCTTTGAATTTCCTGCCCTTTCCCCCTGCCTTTCGCCGGTCGAAGCTCCAGCCGCAAGTCGAACTAAAATTTTGCGGCTGGAGCTTTTCGTACATCGAAATTTCCGTAAGTATGGACCTTCGTAAGTTGAAGGTCCACTGTATTACACAGGCAACACTGGCCATGCTGACTGGAGAATTCTGGAAGTTGTACTCCAAAACACTGATCTATATTATTCTAATAGATTCTAAGAAGCACCAAAAACATTAACGAAGTGTTACAATACACATTTGCTTTTCTAGAATCCTAAAAGTTCTAATTCAAAGGCAACAGTGTGACACACACCCACACATTGTGATTTGGCATTGGTGGATACAGTAGTTAATTAGCTGGCTGGCTGATGGGAATTTTTCACTTCACAAGAATGCATTGACCCCAAAGAATCAGTTAAAAGGGAAATGAAATTCACTTGTTTAAAAAAGATCTGGAGAACACCCTCAGGTCACAAGAGCCCAGAGTTTTGTGTTCAGAGTCCAGCTCTTAGTGATGGGCTTGAGAAGCAGAAGAGAAGTCTTGTCGAATAACTGCATTAGAAGGACACAGATATACTCTCAGCCACCTTAAAGGAAACACACTTATGATGATCCCACAATACAAAAAATAACATTTTTCTCACACCAAAGTGTGTTGAAAAAGCGAGACATCACAAAGACAGAACAGCTCCTTAGAGAAAGCTGTCTACTGTGAGGGAATCGATGGTTAAGAATGCACTTATACTGCAAAGTAATCTGAAAGCATCCATACAGTGCATCGCTACTCTAAATAAAACTTGAACAAAAATTAATTGGTCGAATTTATCATTAATTTGGTATTAATCACAGAGAAAAATAATTTGATATTACAAAAGAGAACAGAGGCATTTCACATGAAACCCATGTTCCCTGTGTTTGACCTCCAAAACAGAGCTACAAACCACAGTTTGAAGCTGGATGACAATCTTGATTTGGAGAACAAGCACAAACCACAGCCTGGCAGTATAAATGTAACAACAAGCTATGGTTTACCCTAATGTGGAAGACATTAACTAAAAATTACACCATCCAAGGAAGAGAAAGAAGGGGGAGAGTTGACTGTGCATGTACAGGCCAAATTTGTACAGCAACAAACTATAGTTTGACATTATAGGCTCTTTGGGATGAAACCAATGCCCTGGATCCGTTCCAGTTGAGCTTCAGGCCATGCCATGGCACAGAAACGGCACTGGTCGCATTGTTCAATGACCTCCAGAGGGAGGCTGATGGGAGCAAAATGTCTTTATTGGTCCTCCTCAATATTTCAGCTGCCTTTGATACCGTCAACCACTGTATCCTCCTGGAAAGGCTCTCTGAGTTGGGGATCGGTGGCCTTGCTCTTGCTTGGCTCCGATCCTTCTTGGAGGACCGACCCCAGAGAGTCCAATTTGGGGAGAATGTATTGGCCCTGGGGTCCTTCAACTGTGGAGTTCCGCAGGGCTTGATCATCTCCCCAGTGCTGTTTAATATCTACATGAGGCCGCTGGGTGGGGTCATCAGGAGGTGTATGGCTTCTTGCCATAAGTACACTGATGACACTCAGCTCTAAATCTCCTTTGCACCTTCCTCAGTGAATGCCGTTCTGTCCCTTCAGCGCTGTCTGGAGACTCTACTGCAATGGATGCAGGAGAATGGATTGAGGCTGAATAAGACAGAGGTCCTGAGGGTGGGTGGCCCCTCCATTGGTAGTTCGGGAAACTCCCTCTCTTTTGGGGGGGGTAACTCTCTCCGCGAAGAGTGAGGTCCGCAGCTGGGGGGTCCATCTGGATCCGACACTCACCATGGAAACCCAGGTGGCGTCAGTGGTCCGCTCCGCCTATTACCATCTGTGGCAGATTGTCCAGCTGCGTCCCTATCTTGATGGCAGGGCCCTCAACACTCTGGTCCATGCGCTTGTAGTCTTGAGATTAGACCACTGTAATGCGCTCTACGCGGGGCTACCTTTGAGATTGATGCGGAAGCTTCAAATGGTGCAGAATGCAGTGGCCAGGCTTCTTAGTGGGACAAGAAAACATCAGCATATCTCTCCCACTCTGGCTGCCTTGCATTGGCTGCCCATTCGTTTCTGCATTGATTTGAAAGTGTTAATGATGACATATAAATCCCTAAACGGTTGAGGACCTCGATACCTAGCGGAATGCCTTTTCCCACCTAGTTCTACCTGAATCACTCGCTATAGCCAGGACAGATGGCTGAGGGGCCTAACGCCGAGGGAGGCCCAGAAAGAAAGAACAAGAAACCGGGCCTTCTCAGCAGTGGCCCCTTGACTCTGGAACAGTCTTCCTCCAGAGATATGCCTGGCACCCTCGCTGGGTGTTTTCAAGAGCCAACTTAAGACCTGGCTCTTCAGGCAGGCCTTCCCTCCTGTCAATACTTGATTCTTATTTTCTATTTTAATTTTCTATCTGTATTTCTCCATCTTGAATGATACTAACATCATTGATTTAAATTGTTATCTAATTGTTTTATGATATTTTTATTGTAAGCCGCCCAGAGTACAAGTTGTCTAGATGGATGGGATATAAATCAAATCAAATCAAATCAAATCAATCAATCAATCAATCAAAATTGTATGTGAACCATTCCTCTCTCTCAATTACTAATTAATCAACACATATTTTTTACAAAGTTTTAAAAGATTTGCCCTTCTACTTACAGGTTTTCTCAAAACCTTACCTGGAAGATTCCCTCTAGAGATTGTGTCTGTATCTAAATTATATGTATCCTGGAGCCGTAAGAGAGCTTTGGCAGCTCCAGTTTGATCTTCATCATTAGGAAAATATTGGCGCTGAATAGTCATGTTGGAAATAAATCCTAAAGATTTTTTTAAAAAAAAAAGAAAGAAGAAAAAAAAGGTTCTTTATATTCTTCAGTTGCCCTGAATGCCAATTCCACCGCCACTGATTTTCCACCTACTATCATCTGGAGCTCCACATCGCTTTCTGTAACCTTATTCTTCTTCTACTTTTGCAATTATGACTTAGTGTGTCATCCATCCAGGAAATCATAATTCTTATTCCATTTGATACTGAATACATTTTTGATTTAATAAAGCAAAATGGAAAACTACATGTGTTTTTCGTGATTATTTTAAGATAATTTTTGAGTTCATCAATTATAATTTCAGGGTACTTTCTGGATCATATAAGAGAATGCCATCAGACAGACTTCCTATATTGTAAAGCAGCATGTGTAGTTCCACAGAAGTGCTTGGTACTCAACTCCTTTTATTTCTACCATAAATGAATAGGTGCAGCATTACAATTCCATTCATATTTGACACAAATACACCAACTTCAAACCTGCTTTTCATTGACAGCACATCACTAATCAGTGTTATTGCTAGCATAACCACTAACTTACTGAGATTTTTGAACCTCTGCAGTATGAAATTATCAATCTACTGAGAATTCCTAAATCACAGATAATTTCTTCACCACTGTTCCAAACGAGCTCTCAATATCCAAGCCAAACTCCACCAGCTTTTTAAAAACGTACCATCAGACATATCCTTCAGGACTAGATTCTCTAGTTCACTCCACTCTGTATTAAGCCGCTTCATTAACTTGAAGGCATTCACAGGATGCCCCAAGAATCCTTCTGGGTCTTTTGTTGCAGTGTCTGTCAACTTATCCAATTTCTCTGCCCATCTAGAGAAGCAAAATGCAAGCTGAATATTTTTACTATGTCATTATCAGCCATTCACACAATTATATTGTAAATTGACATTATACAACCACTTTTGTATCATTAGCTTCCCCTCTCAATGATTCAATATATTTAAAAATACTTGATAAAATATTATTATGCTTTCAAAATCTGAAGCAGTTTAGACTAATAAAAAATAAAATTTATAAAGACAAAAATATTTTTGACACTAATTACTTATACAGAGCAACTTGCTAATATAACACATTTATTTTTACTCTCACGAAAGCTGTATATCATTTAATCTAAGGACAGTTTTAATGCGTTTAACATGGAGTCACCACAGAATATTAATATTCAAGCTACTACCTACTTCTTAATCTGCTCCAGCTTGCTTTCTTCAGCCTTGATGTAGTCTTTCAATGAAGTCACCAGATCTTTCTCAGTATTAATCAAGTCTGTCATGTGCCCTAAAAATATTTTCATGTAAGTATTATGTCCATAGTCACTATTGTGAAATCTTAGCAATGTAGTTTTAAAAACAAATAAGCATAAGTATGCATGGAGTTTGCAGTTACTTTGCACTCTTCGATAAACAAAAAAATAGACTGATAGTTTTTGAAAAGCTGATTTATTTGAGATTTCTTTAATACCTTTTCACAGCTTTTTCAGAACTTTTTGTTACCACTCCTTACAATTGTTGGCTGACTTTTTAAAACTTGAAACTCAAGATTTTATCACCGGCTCTGCTTCAGTGGCATTGTCTTTAGTAGCATTAGGGCAACTAATAAAATGAATTAGTAAAGCAACTCAATACACTTGCTGTCATTACTGAATAAATTCTGCTCTACAGGACTGCTTACCAATAGAAGTGAAGAAATCTGTATAGGTATAAGAAGAAGGCAGTACAACAAAAAGGACTAGAAGACACCAGGACTTTGTGGGCACCATTTTATTTTCTCCGATTAACACACACCTAAAAAATAATAATAAATTTGACACTTTATAGCACAGCAAATACAGTTTTATCAGTTTCAGGCATTTTAAAACAGTGCATAGGATATGAGACTATAACAACCTGGGTCTGGCTTCTGCACATATGGTAAATCTTTCTGTGGCCGAGACAAGTGACTCAAAACTAGCCACTGGATCAAAGTTAGGTAGATTGAAGTCTTTGTTTACAGATCCAGCCCATGAAGAGGACAGGAAATCCTCAAGAGATGTGTCTCAATTGCTTGTGGCTTTCCTCTTCAAAGTCATACTGGGCACCACCATTCCTTACTGTGCAGCAATTTCTGTCATCTCCCTATAAAGCAAATCTCTCCCTATATTCCATCCTCCTGACCTTGGAAGTTGGATCTCACAGTATGTGTGGGTGGCTGACACTTGGGTTATTTTGATCCTCTTTCCCCAGAAATGTTTCCCCTCCCTCTTGCTTTTAATGTACTGATTTTCACACATGAGCAGCCTGTAAATGGTGTCTGGTGTAGAATACAAGACATTCACAGTCCTGATGTCCACACCCTTCCAACTTCTGTGCACATACCAGGGCACCACCCAAAGTATTTAGTGAGCCCTGCTCACAGGAAAAATGTGATTGCAGTTGCTTAACAGGACAAATGGATGTAGATTTACTGAGAAACAAAGCTCATTGTGATCTTACCGCAATCTATACATTTATCTGTTAGCTACCTGTATAGTTTGCCTTTTTCGAAGCATTTTATTTATTTTATGTAAAGATTTATTTTTTCAATAAATATACACTTCTGAAGAGAGGAAGGTGGTGATTAAAAAACACCGAAACTGCAATCCTGCACTATTCGCCTTGACAGTACCACTGGATATATTAGATTTACTTCTCAGTAGGCACATACAGAATTGCACTGTCAATACTTTTTTCAGCCATACTTTTGAGTAGATATATATATATAGGATTACAGTGGTGCCTCGCATAACATTAATTCATTCCAGCGAAATCGCTGTAGAACGAAAACGCCGTAATGCATTGAAATGCATTGAAACCCCTTCAGTGCATTCCAATGGGCTGAAAACTCACCGTCGAGCAAAGATCCTCCATAGGGCAGCGATTTTTGGTGGCTGTCTTGCGAGGAATTCGTCCCAGAAAACAGCGGGGAGCCATTTTATTTACCCACTGGCCATTTTGAAACCGCCACTCAGCTGGAGAAAAATCATCATTTTGCGAAGAATCGAAGCAGGGAACCGATCATCGCAAAGCGAAAAAAACCCATTCAGACCATCATTTTGCGATCACAATTGCAATTGCAAAAAGATTGTCATAATATGGTTTCGTCATAATGTGGGGCAATCGTAAAGCGAGGCACCACTGTATATTCTAACTGACTTAAATCCCCACTTCATCCATGAGGACACAGCTTGAAAAACAAGGAAACATTACCATCATCCACTCCCTAAACTCCCAGATACAAGCACAATTTGCACATATCCTTTCTCAAACAGACAAAAAGCAAGTTTTCTGGGGAAAGAGGATCAAAGTGAGATTTTAAGGGAGGGGAGTAGAAGGAAAGCAAGTGAAGGGTTCTGGCATGGGTGGTGGGCAATTGGCCTTCCAAAAATTTACACAGTTATTTCCTTCTCTCCAAGGCTCAAAATAGGGATGGACAAAGAGGAATAAAATAGTAGGTGGGATTTTTCTATCTTCTTCTGGTAAGGCTTTATTGTGGCCACTTAACTTAAACGTGAATGGCAATGTGGCCTCCTTTTAAATGTTAAACAACTCTCAAAATACTGGTTAAGTACACCTGGCTTTGTTCCTACTGCATCTTCTACGTGTGAGGAAAGGGATGGGAGATCAAAGAAAATGTCCCATCTGAAGAGCTGGTTGGAGCTTTTCCAGCCAGTACTTCCGCTGGAGAGCCAGCGGTGTTATATATGGCTCAAAGTGTTGCAGAAGGATCTGGCCCACCCTTCAAAGTTCTTCCCCTCTGCCATTTCAAGGGAAGAATGCCTGAGCTCCGCCTTGCTCATATTCATGACGTTTGCTAATTAAGTGGCCAGTTCAACGTCTTCTGTTAAAACAGATTAAGGAAAACAGTCAAGGAAAGTACAGCAAAGTTCAGTTCCCATATCATTTCATGAAATGTTCATATTTCTAAAAATCTTTAACTACAGTGATTATGCCAGCTCATAGCTGACAATAACCAATTTTCATATGAATACCTCATTCGTATGCTCCATGGCTCAGTACAATTACATATCGAATTAACAGGACTAGATAACTCCAAAAAAGGTAACCTTCGGAAATAATTGCAACTCTTATATGGATTAATTCTAACTTTTCAAGCCTGAAATATCTGGAAGATAGGAACCATGCATCAGTTTACTGCAGTTGATGGTGAAACAGGCTGTGTGAAATGGTCTACCAAACTGTGAGAAGAACAGCCCACTGCTCTTGGAACACACTCTGCCTCTGTGTCTCTTGTTCATTCACTCTGGGCAAGGAGACAAGAAACTACAGGAAAAAAGTCCTGAAGCACACAAACAAGAAAAAGGAACAGGCGGCAGGGCTGTTGAATGTGTAGCCATTGAGATATTGTTCTCCACCTTGTTATCCCTAACTGTTGACTATGGTGGCTAGAGCTGATGGTCTAGCATTCTGAGGTGCATATTTCACACCAATCCAACTATCAGCCTCATGACTGCAACCTCTAGCAATCAGAGTTCCTATAGACATACATAATTAGATAAACCTCACTTTTCTTTTAAGACAAGTGGACTGTTGTCATATTGTAAACGGAAAAGAATGTTTGACAGGAGGCACCCCACAACCCAGAATAACCAAGTGACTTTTGCATCTCCAGCAAATCCTTCTTGGATTAATTCCTGACAAAAAATATTTTGTTAACCAAGGGAATTTTTATTTGCTTCAGTAAAATGGAAACAATCTGACTATCCATTCCTCCAAGTCAATAATTAAAACAAATTTGCTGGAAACTAACTGGCCTCAAAGGAAACTAACCTTCATTTTGTCAAAATAACAGTATTTCTGGTCATTAGCTACTATTAAACTTTTTTTTTTAAAAAATGCAATAATTTATTATTCCGCTTTTAACTTTGTTTCTTCTAATACTGTGAACTGCCCTGGGTCCTTTAAGAGAAAAAAAGCACATACATTTTAAATAAATAAATAAAATGAATCAACACTACAAAATTCTGGACTTGCACTTTTCCTTTTTCCCAGCACATTGTCACAGCAGCCTGTCCCACAATGCTTTTAAAACATACTTCAGTAATTTCCAATGTCTTTTGCCATATCAGAAGGATAGCTCTAGCTGCACAGATGCTCTGAGAGCTGAATCAGACAACAGTCTAGCTCTTGACTTCCCAAGTCATCCTTTTTCATATAAAATATTAGTTCAGGATCAATAGAGTCATTCTTTTAAACTTATAATTAGTGTCTAAGAGACATCTGTTAAGTTTTTCTCCCTACTCCAAGCTGCCCACATTCTTTTTTAAAGTCCATACAGAAGAGAAATTGGAAGTTAATTCTAGGAGAAAGAATTATGTCAACTAATCTTGATTAAACAATCAAAGTACCTGTTGTTTATTTTTTTAAAATTATAACAAGATATAACAAAAACATAAATGACAAATAGAATCATAACTCAAATATACATTGTAACCCACTACCATTGGAAATGTTGGGGTATAACTTTTATGTTTTGTAAAAGTACCTGTTGTTTATGATACTCACACAGCCTGCAAGTTCAGGGAGAGCTAGTTTCCCATCAGGTGGAGTTAGTACTGTACTTCTATACCACTGGCCTTGTTGATATTCCTGGCTTACCTTCATCCTTCCCACCTCGAGCACTTCTCAAGCTATTGTTAATGCACCCACATATTTTAAACTTTCCCTCTGTCTTTTCCACTGATCACAGGACCACTCTATTATATGTTACTTTCATTTTTATTTTAAGGCACCAGAACTTGCACTTCTACTGTCCACTGTTTTAGCTTTAACTGTTTGCCAGAAGCAGCATCCACATCAAGACAATACCAAGGGGCTAAACATTTCCATTCTTTTCTACCCATAGAAAAATTAATCATCCTTCCGCAGGCCAGGCTAGGTCTCCTGAGATGTGCTTCATTTAAACTTATGACTTTATTATCTTAGGTATTTTAGAAATCACACATCCTTTGCAAGTCCAGTTTTGTGTCTGTTTTCTGTTCAACAACCGGAAACCTGATTTTAGCTCAAGACAAAGAATATAATAAGATGGTGTTTCACAAGACTAGGATTCATGTAGACCTCAATCATACGGCTCACAGTAAAAATTCACTCAAAAAACAAATTTAAAAAGCAGCATTCAAGTGAATGTACCTTGACCATGATACAAATGTACAAAAGCAAAAGAGATGGTAGAGACTGACATCCACCTGCAAGACCATTATATCAACATCATAGTATTTTGTGGCACCTTCAAGACTAGTAAATTTTATTCACCACATTTTCATGAGCTATATAGTCTATCTGCATTTGGAAAGGTGGCCTGCAGACCACAAAAATATGCAAAATAGAACCTATTACTCATCAAAGTGCCAAAGGATCTACGCATGTTTTTATATGTTTGCAAAACAGAGCAGGAATCAAGTATGCAAGGAACTAGGCATTATATGTGTGTGTGTTCTGTGCCCTCAAATCGCATCCAACTTATGGTGACACTAACAGCCAATAGGCAATGAGGCACTTTGCATTTTCCACTCGTTGACCTCAATGCTGTTTGCTGGTGACTAAACTTCTAATGAGTTGTTAGAAAAGGCAAAATAAGAAGTCTGGACAATCATTAAGGTTTACCAATCCAAATTCTTCAAGTTATTTATGGCAGCATAGGTTCAGTGTTTTTCCTCCAAAAATGCGTTATTTTCAAGGAATTTTTTTTCATGTACAACAATCTACATTTATTCAAATACAGTCATGTCATCTTCTGGTTGCTGCACAATGGTGGAAGGTGGGTTTCACTTAACTGGGGCTTATTTTTTGGGGTAGGGCTTATATTACAAGTATCCTGAAAAATCATACTAGGGCTTATTTTCAGGTCAGGTCTTATTTTCAGGGAAACAGGGTAGGAGCCACTTATATTCCTTGTCATATGCCAGTTGCATGAAAAGGATTCCGGCCATTTTAGCACAGTACACTGGCTGGATAGCTAGGTGAGAGGTAGCTACACAACAGTCTATTCAACTCTGTAGGCACCTGCTGGAACAGTTGGGAACACTCTAAAAACCATTGTCTGTACTACATTCATGTCAGAGTGTTACAACTTATTCCTAATGGGGACCAATCCATCCCATATTGGTTTAGGGTTGGAGCCTACTGTTTATTTGGAATTATTAGGACTGTCCCAAATAAACATTTCCCCCCTGTGCAGTAGCCTAGATCACTTGTGTGGGGGTGTGTGTTCTTTCTACATATCAGTGGTGATGTGTAGAGGTGAGTGTGGTCTGGTTGTGACTGTGGATGTCACCTCTGACCCATTTTGAAGTGAAATAAGGATATTTTTTGTTTTAATTGGTTTTTTTAGAAGAACTACTTTTCCACTATTGTGCTGCATTACTAAAATGTCATGCCACTTACAACAAATTAATTTTTTTAAAAGGAGGAATGCGGAGCTGAAACATGGCACTCTATACCCTCCTTTGTGTGCATAAAAAACAAATATTAATGCCCACTAGCAAGCAAACGGAAACAAGCTCTTTCCGGACTGGCTGACAATTATTGCAGAAGAGAAGCCAGAAGGTTGGGAGGGATACATTGTGACCAAATAGACCAAAAGGTAACAATCCAACTCCAAAATGTCCAGATCACAACTACGGAGGTTGCAGGAACAATATTTATCTGAATGGAAAGAGCGATTAAAACAAGCCCCACCATTCCAAATCAAACCAGACTAGATCACTCTAATGCAGCCATACCTGCAGTTAGGTATCAGCCAGAAGGTTGGGAGGGATACATTGTGACCAAATAGACCAAAAGGTAACAATCCAACTCCAAAATGTCCAGATCACAACTACGGAGGTTGCAGGAACAATATTTATCTGAATGGAAAGAGCGATTAAAACAAGCCCCACCATTCCAAATCAAACCAGACTAGATCACTCTAATGCAGCCATACCTGCAGTTAGGTATCCGACTAGGAAGCCAGAGACTTGGGAGTTGAATTCTCTACTGTGTATCCCATGAGAAGAGCCAACCTGTATAGCCTTGGACAAGCTACACAGTCTCAGGGTGGGGTGGGAAACCATTTCTGAGAACACTATACTGTACCTAGAAAACTTTGAAAAAAGGATCACCCTAAGTCAGAAGCTACTTGATGGTACTTATTTCAAGCAGCTTTTACCATCTGAAATGTTTTTACCTTTCTGAAATGAGCAAACAATTGGTGATTATGAAATCCATAAACACCAGCAGAGCTTCAACAAAAAAGAGGAAAGTCTAAAACTTAACAAGGCCTGGCTCCTAGCACTGAAAAATACAGCCTGCAAAAGGTCAGTAAACTCTACCCAGCCACAAGGACTGCGCACAAAAAAAGACCAGCTAATGGCACCCATCAATCACAGTGACAGATAATCTCTCCCCCTTATCACAACAATACATCCACAACAAAAACACCCTGAGCACCATCATCACTCTATCTCCTGAAAAAGGACAAAAGCTGTTCCCACAGCTATAAATACTCAACTATCCAACAAACAGCAACAGAGCATGGACAGAGTTCCTACTCCAGTCCTCTGAAGATGCTGGCCACAGAGACTGGCAAAACGTCAGGAAGAACAACCTTCAGAACACTGCCAAAGAGCCTGAAAAACCCACAACAACCCTCAGATCCCGGCTGTGAAAGCCTTCGAGAATACAATTTGTGGCAAATTAGTACATTTCCTCTTCCTTGGCATCCCCAAAATATTAAACCCTGTAACCTGAATCCTCATTATTATTTATGTACTATTTATTACAATCATCTCTTGCCTTTAAAGATTCAAACTATTCCATGGCAGTTTACAAGGAAACTAAATTAAAATAATCACTAAAATGGTAAACATTACAAGTCATCATAGCCATTAGGGCCACTTGGTATTATTGGATGCCTTTTTCCTAAATTAAGCTCAAGGCTTCTTACAATTAAAGAAGGCAGTAAATGGCCCACTATGTACCAGAGTAGGGAGAGAGGGTGTCTGTGATAATCTTGACTTGCCTGCTTTTACATTCCAATAAGCTTTGAGTTCTGTCACTTTGCACTGTAGAATAGGAGACAGACAGGCAGCCCTATACGCATTCTACTCAGAAGGAAGTCCCACTCAGTTCAAAGGGAGTTTACTGTCAAGTAAGTGAGCACTGGATTTATAGTGAACACTGTGTAGTCGCAGCTACAAGTTCTCTTTTAAAGTGTTTTCTCACATGAGGAAAACAGTTTGTATTTGCCTGTATCAGATTGTATCAACAGCTAAAGGAATTTATGAATAGCAGATAAACTGCTAAAGGATCTCCCATCAGTTTGGCTTTTTATGCTTCTTACACTTCAGACATCTAGATCACTTTGTTGCCAAAATCGCATATTCAACATACTCAACTCTCAGTATTAGAAAAATCCATTCAACATATCTGTATCATCCAAGTATGATGCAATACAGAATTCTCAGAAAAGAACTATTCAAACTTTTAAACATAAATATTTTAGAACACTGACCAAATTCCTTTTTTTAAAATGAACTTATGTAACTCCACACCCAGAAAACCTCAGATTTTTCATATCTGGGTGAGCTGCTTAAAACGGCATGCTATTCATGCTTAGAGAGCATGAGTAAGAGTCAGCAGAAATAGCTTCTTTCCAGAAGTTTGTGAAGGGAGCAAAAGGTTGATGAAAGAATGCCACTGCCACGTATTTCACCCTCCCCCACTCACGTAATGGACACTTCTTTTCAAAATTCCTTCCAAGGGGACTCTAATAAAAAGTGCTGCCGCTGAAGAAAAAGCACTTAAAATTTCTGTATAAACAGTCCTCTTTCACATTGGCTCGTTGGTCCACTCTGGTGTTTGTTCCCTCTTATTTGCAGAGAGATCAATTTATGCTCAGAAAAAGGGAGGAGGGAATCCAGAGCATGTATTGCTTGCTAAGAATGTCTCCGTAAACCAATCCAGCTCAACCTCTTTTTTTTTTTAACTAGGAATTGTTGTGTCTAATCTGTTTAATAAACTACGTACCGAAAACTTGGCTAAACTTTAAACTAAAGTTTGGCAAAAGTTGAGAGGAGTGGTTTATCATCTATTTAAGCAAATGAGACATTATTCTCATTTTTTAAAAAAACTAGGAATTGTTGTGTCTAATCTGTTTAAGAAACTACATACGGAAAACTTGGCTAAACTTTAAACTAAAGTTTGGCAAAAGTTGAGAGGAGTGGTTTATCATCTATTTAAGCAAATGAGACATTATTCTCATTTCATATTAGGCCTGCCATGCATGCTGGTATCAGGACAACGGCCGTCGTATTATGAAAACGGGGATGAGCAACCAGTATTAACAGCCTGAGATGCAGAATCGGAGATGCGAGATGGAGAAAAGAATCAGCACCCCCACCCTCCTTAAATGTACAGGAAAATCCTCTGCACTCCAGTCCTCAATGGATGAAGAAGCGCTATCCTGCGCGTAGGAGTGGGTGTTCAGTTCGAGACCCATTTCCACGTCAGCCCTCCAGTTATTTCGCCCTGGGGGCAGCAATAGGGAGAAAACCCAATCTCGGCGTGCCTCTGACAAGACTGAACGGGCTTAGATCTCAGCAACGCCGCTGGGCAGCGCCGCAACTTTGTTTCCAGGAAAGGGGAAGAAAGTTGTTGCCTTCTCGGAGAAGCCGAGATCCTGTCAAGCCCCGGCCCGTCTCCGTCTCCACCGCCTCTTCTCGGTCCCAACCCGCTTTGCAAAGGAAAAGGAAGAGAAAGCGAGAAGTAGTAGCAAGGAAATTCCCGGGCTGGGACGGGGAGAGAGAACGGGACCAGCTAGGAAGCAAGTCCCTTAAGCGGACCGTCAGAGCAGCGCCCAGACGAGGCCATTTAGTGTCGGTGGTTAAAAAAAACTGGCTCATTTGTGGAGGCTAAAAGTGAGCGGGGGGGGCTTAAAACCGCGGCGTCCTTTCTGAACGGGTCTCAACGAGGAAGTTTCTCGACGTACTGCTCGGTGCTGAAGGAAAAAAAGGGCAGAGCAAGCATGCACGCAACTTCGGCTGGGGGGGGGGAGAAGCAAGAGAAATGCAACCTCCTCCCGCTTCTACCTCGGCTGGGCAGCGAGGAAAGAAGCCGAGGAGAAGCGGGAGCGCCGGCTCAGCTGCCCCATTATCCCCCCCTCAGCCGTCCTCGTCCGGTCACCCATGTCAAGTCCCGGAGGGGCGAGGCAGGGTGGTGGGCACGGGAGACCGTGCAAACCTACCTCAAGAGACAAGCGCGCCTCCGTCTCTCTCTCTCTCGGTCCAGCCGCAGACTTAGCCCAAGGCAGCAGGCCCCTTTCGGAATGCTTATACGGGCCGGGATCCCGCCCACCACCGGCCTCTGGAGGCGGCCCCTCAGATCCTGGCAATGGAAGCCTCGGCAGCTCGGCTCTACGTGAGGCCGGTCACAGCGAGCGAGCGAGCAAAGGCAACCCCAAGGCATGCGCAAGCGCGCCAAACGCCGGCTCCGAGTCCCCCCTCCCGCCCCAGTGGGGAGGGCGGGGGACGGCGCGAGAGCTGGGAGACCCTTCTCCGCGCGCACTCCCCCCCCCCCCCACCACTTGAACGAAGGAGCAAGGGCCGGGAGTGGCCACCTTGGGGAGAATAGTTAAAAGGGTGAAGGGACGCCATTTA